TTTAGGTAATGGTTTGCAACTCTGATAATGCCATTTATGTGCTAAAAATTATAAGGATTAGATTGGCATATGGCAACCACTAAGCAACTTGGCACAAGCACAATCTTAAATGCCATTCTATAAGTCATAGTCAAAGCTGCATGATTAAGGGCCATATTGTTATAAAAACAATTCAAATTGGTTGAATACATATTAGTCTCATACATCATTGATTGAGTTTAACATAAAAACATTAGTCTTGGATCTAATCACCTCAAAGCTGTCTATATGCCAAGAATAAAGCTAAAGAAATTTTCCATTCAAAATGCCTAACTATAGCAATATCTTTGCAACTCCATTAGTTGTTATGTTTCTAAATCAAACAATAATTGATACAAATTTATGGAAAACTAACCCATAGTTTTCAAAGGCTCCTTTCCAATGTAAGAGTTGATCCAATTGATGTTATATATAACAGAACCAACATAAAAGATTCTTGTTAATGGCCATATATAAGCATATGCATGGATAACATCTACCACAATATTATGTATGGGAGTAAATGACACTTGTATATATTAATCAATATTAGAGACCTACTGTAAAAAGTAATAAATTTTCAACTGCAGAATTTCTTTCTAATCTGAATAGGAAAGAAGGGAAGGACAAGAGAAATTAGAAAATTTAAAATAATGATCTTTTTCTTTGCATAGTTGCAATTTTTTCGTGGACGATAAGAAATATATGAGGGCCATCAATGTAAGGGCTGAATAAAGTGATAATTGAGTAAAATCCCTCAAATCATAATGAAAAGATGGGTCACTACTAGCTAAACAAATTTCTAAAAGTACATCTATAAGACATGAAAAAATCACCCATATTCTACTAACTTCAAGTAGATACATGCTTACTTTAGCTGAACTTGAGTCTCCAAAATTCATGATGAATTGATAGAGATAATATTTGGAGTAGTGCTTCACCTAAGCATCATCGAAGGTAGCAATTAGAATTCAATTGTTAAAGTTAGTAACTAATTTCAAGTGCCCAGCCTTATGAGTAGCTCTAAGTTCAAACATCATAATGTGAAATGGGGTTAGATTAGTAGGACTGACATATGTACTTACTATAAAAGTAAGATTATCACCTGAATTAGAAGTTTGGATGCAACATATGTCATCACCATAATGTAAACACCAATCTTCCTTGTTATTTCCCAAATCAATAACCAAGTTAAAGAATGAAACCCAGGGTGAAACATCAATAGTTGTAGTAGCAGTTGTAATGCAACAATCAAGCAATAACATAACATGCATAGAATGACAAATATAGCATTGATTTTTTTTTGTGCATCTCTATAATCAAATCCAAAAGTGGAAAAAATAGGTCCAATGCAATAAGTTTAGACATATCAACCGATTTAGAGACCTCAACATTAAAATTCAAGCACCAGGGTAGCAAATTGTAATTTCCAAGAGAGCCCAATTATAAAATGGACAAGGAAAAATGAGAGAATTTCTAAGATCAATTATTAGTCTAGCATACAACCTTATAGTTAGTGCTTGGGGATTATCAACTAAGACTAAGAGCACCTATATGACAACAATTATAGTAGCTGGCGATTCCAAATTTTTAACAACAAAAAGCCAACTCATATTCCTTTGAACCACTCCTAGATTAAAATTAAGTCTAGCACTTAAGCCAATAAAAACCAATAGTTGAAATAATACTTTATCAAATCCTTTAAGTTATTTAATGGCAATTATATTGTGAAAATTAATTGTAATCCTTACAAAATCATTAGAGAAGCAGTAAAATTCAAGTTCAAGAAGATTGGAAACATAGTACATCTATAAGTAAAACTCTGTAACAGGGAGCTTTAGATTGTAATCTCTAGTGTAAAGAAAGGGTGTAAAAAAGCTATTATGAACTTAATCAATGGCCTCTGATATTCTCCGAATCAAGAGGGAATTAAGTACAGTGAGTGATATACTAGGATCATAAACTAGTTGGTACAACCATGAAAAATGATCTCATTGCTTGACCTGTACCGACATAAATTATTGGAGTATGTTACTACCAAGTCAACAAGACCTACTAAAGCAAGACCTAATTTGTAAAGTCAAAGGAAGGGTAAAGAGGTAAGGGTAGTGATGTATCAAGAACCATGTACTCTATGGATGGAATCTTCTACCTTATGCGATTGAGGGCATAGATTGAAAATTTATTCAATTTCAAATCATCATACTATTCTTCAATGGGATTCAACAATGGGACTTCACTAGTTGGTGCCATATCAATGTCATGGACTTCACTAATTAAAAAAGGATCGAATTCTTAGGTTAAAGTTAGGGAAGTACTAGATTTTATTGGCACAAGAGCTGTGTAGCCATTGGTGTCTACCTCTCTTTCGATGGCGAGTGAAGAATTGATTAATTTCATTTCTGGTTCAATCAGTATATGAGAATAGTGCACTACTTTTAGTGCTCTGTCTATGTCACTTGGCTTAGAAACTGATTGTGGCACCCTAAAGGAGTCAGAACTCAGAGGTAACATTGGCAACAAAGATTGCAATTTATTAATGGCAATCATCTTAGAGTTTGAAGACCCAATGGAAAAACCTTGAATCAAGAACTCAAGGTTGCGAGAAATCTTTGAAATAGATTTGCATATCCCAGCCATGGCTTGTTCAAATCGATCTAAGTGAGTAGTGTACTTTAGATTTTGACAATTACTTAGTTCCTTGAATATCTTAAGATTCATCGCCATCTCTTCTATTTGGGTGTTTTCCACCATTAGATCTCTCGATGAAAGCACCTTTGTCATGATCAACAACTCTTATGGGCAAAAATTATAGAAAATAATAGGAGAGCATTGATATTCAACTGGGAATGTTCATAAATCAACAACACTTAAGACATAGATATATTCAGCTAAAGCTAATTACAACCAAATAAAAAGTTTAATAATGGAGTTCATAAGAAGTAGATAACAAAAGTAGAAGGGTTAAAGAGATGGCACAAAACTTAAGGAGGAATACAATCGATAAAATTGTACCCTACTCTCTTTGGCTCTTCTTTTACTTTTATTGTCAATTCTTGTGCCCTGATTTCCACCTCAGTTTGGCCCATTTACTTAAGCTTTAGGCTCATTCTATCAATGAGCCCATTCATGACAGAGTGAAGCGTGCATTAATCAGGGAACTCATATGTTAGCTACTGTGACAAGCCATGACAATTTTTCTTTATCATAAAGTTGAATAACAACAGGTGTATACTCTGAATCAAAACCTACTATTGTTGACATAATCAAGTGTTTGAGGAGCTTTTGACATCATTGTCGCTTCTTTTAGGAAGAAGCCTACAGGCTATGGTCGACCATCTCAGCCTGAAAAAATTATTCATGATGAGAAATCTGGAACAAGAGCTAGTTATTTTGTTTTTTTAAAAAAACTAAACATTTCAACTAGAGAAATAGGAAATATCTGCCAGTTTCCTGTCGATAATTTTGAATTATATATATACTTGCCATATAAATACAAAAACTATTTATTTGAATTAAAAAATAATCAAATTTTTTTTAAAGGATTAGACTATTAAAAGGTGAATCTTGAAAGCTTAGAATGGATCAGATGGAAATTTACAAACAATGCGAGTTCTTACTCTAATTTGCAGCTCCCATGGCCAGTAGTATTCGCCTACATGTGTTGGGAACTTTGGGTTACACGTTGCAAAAATGTCTTTGATGATCAGAGACAAGTTTTCCAACCTGACCCAAAGAAATGTTTGATGAAAGCCTCCACTGATTCTCGATGGCTAAGAAAATTCAAAATAGATCGTTCTTCGTCTAGTGGCATGGAGTCCTGGCATCCACCTTCACAATGAGCTATAAGGCTTGACGTTGATGGTTATAGTCAAAATGAAGTAGCAACTTGTGAAGGATGTATTTCAGATGACAATGGAGTTTGGGTTATGGGCTTCAATTCTAAGCTTGCGAATTATCCATCCACCATTGTTGAAGTTCTAGCAATTTCTAAAGGCCTTAATCTCTGTTGGACTAAGGGGTTGAGAAACGTTGAAGTATACTTAGATAGTGTGGAAGCAATCAATCTCCTCACGAGAGGATATCATAAGGAGCACCCTTATAAGGACATCATTCAAAATGCTTGTAATCTCATCCATAGAGATTGGTCTATTTCTATTAATTTTGTTTCTAGGGACGTTATTAGCTATGCCCATTTTCTTGCTAGTGAAGCTCATTTTATAGAGAATTCTTTTTGTTTCTTTGATCATCCCCCACCTAATATTACTTTAGGAGGCGTATGATGATTGAGTCGACTTTCTCGGGTCTTGTTTTTACTTTGTTGTACTGTCCTCCCTAATGATTGTCAAATGAAATTCAATTTCCATTCAAAAAAAAAAAAGATTTCCGAACCAATAAGAAGAAGTACCCAGATCATGGATGACATTTTTTAGAAGATTATATTAAAATTTTATATAAAAAAATTAATTACTGTAAAATTTATTAAATCTTATAATAATTAAATTTATTATGTTTTTTTTTTTAACCAAATGAGTTTACCTAATGCACGGATAGTTATTTCGACTGTACAGGTAAAGACATTGGATAGTGACCGTCGCTGCAAACTTTTGTCGGACATCCGACAAATAGATTGTCAAGTAATGTTTGCATGCCGAATTTGCCACTTAACCTTTTAAGAAAAGCTTAAGACAAAAAAAAAAAAAAACTATTCTATCTTCTTGATGCTGCTCCTCAAGGTCTGGAACCTTTGTTGCAGCATGATCGTAGTAGCCAGGACACTGCTAAGGATGGTTAAGTTTTGATTGGTTTCGTTTTTGTATATAAAAAAATATATTAAAAAAGGTATATTTGATGTGAAAGCGTAAAGTAAGTTTTAAGTATTTTTTTTGTGTATTTATCCAGAATCCGGAAAAGAAATACATAAAACTCAAGCATGGTATTTGGATAACAAAATCCAGTTAAATTAGTTTAATGGTTATGAAACCGGGAAGAAGGTAAGGGATTTTCTTGCGCTGTCCAAACATGGCCCACGTCGCCGCACTTTTCTCTTACTCTTTTTGAAGATGATGGTGTGGTGATCCTCTCGGGAATCCCTAAACTGGCCCGCCTCCACTTCTTTACTTTCACTTCTCGAATGAGTTCGACTCATTATTTCCTTCTTCTGTGGCCTCTATCTTCATAATCATCCCCTCATATATTCCTACCGGTTTCCCGAAATTCCCCCTTTTCCGTTAATTTCCGCCGGGTACCAGCATCTTTCCCTCTGGGTTTTCCAGATATTGCGCGATTTCTCCATTTCCGTGGAACGGAGTATATATTTGGCATCTGAGCCTGAGAGAATTCTCTTCGGATTCCGGAGCTGGGGTTAGTCTCTGAGTTTTTAAGGAATCGCTTATATACCCAGGAGACACTTGCTATCTGTATTTGGGATTTCATAGCTTTGAGTTCTCGCCAGCAAGATTGAATTTCATTGGTCCGCTCGGTGCGCCGTTGGCGAAACATTGTTGTCTTCTCGAGAAGTCGAGTTGATTTAATAATCTAGGTTTCGATAATTTCTCAGCATGCAGCATGATATTTTGTTGAGAGCTGATTTTATTGTCTGGGTTTGAATCATTTGGCTTTTTGCATCTGGATATTTGGATCGGAGATCATGCATTTTTTGGTCGTTTGTATCTGAACATTCAATCAGAAAGAGTAAACATGAAGCGAGGGAAAGATGATGAGAAGCTAGTGAGGCCGATGTTCCCTCGGTTGCATGTCAATGATACGGAAAAGGGCGGTCCAAGAGCACCGCCGAGGAATAAGATGGCCCTCTATGAACAGTTTAGTATTCCATCTCAAAGGTCCAACCCTGGCGTTCAGCCACTTAACCCAGTTGGTTCTAGTAACACAATCTCCCTGGCATCCTCAAGCCAGGTAAGTATTTTGATTTTATTGCATTGCTTGTATTCTTATTTGCTTTCTCTTCCTGTTCCATAAACATTCCTGCCATTCATGACCTTGTTTCTGCAAATTCATCTTCTGGCGCACTGGCTTCAGATGCAAGTCAGGCGGTGTTGGAGGACTGCTCCAGTCATGTCCGATACTTGTATAGCCGGACCTAGAAGGCAGTTTGTACTTTTTATGCTAGCTATATTTGAAGAAACACTTAACGATGGGGCATGTTTCTTTTCTAGTTCATAACTAGGAAGATTAGAAAGTGACAGATGACATGACATAGCTGAAGTGTTCGTAAGTAATTTGAGCGTTATGTGTTCAATGTGTGCTGGACACAGACTTGACTTTTTTTAAGGTGTTTCTGCTTCATTGATTTATAAGCTTGACTTACTTGTGCACGTTTTGTTCATTGAGCATAAGAGTGTATGCATTTCATGAACTATCGATTCTTATTTTCTAGGTTCTACCTGGGAGTTTGTCATATTATGGGACTTGTATGTGTGCGTGTACCTTTACCATGTATAGCGAGAAATAGATGTGTTTCTTTCTGAATTGCTGGATTTACATGTTTGCAGGAGACTGCACCTGAGAGAAACTATATCCTCCCAGTTCCTTTACCCCCACAAACACCTACTTATCAAGTTGTCAATAGTATTTCTCACCAATCTGACACAGCGAATCCGAACTGTTCAATGGTAAAACCTGAGCAAAGAAATAAGGGAGATGAAGATGACTTTAGGGTTCCTATATACATTAATTCAAGAGTTGGTCAATCTAGTGATAAAACTCAGAAGACTTTTGATGGAAAAAAGTTCACTTCCATAGGGGTGGAAGTGCAAAATGATTGTGACGCGGATCCCAAACTGTTAGGCTTGCCATATGTTAATATAAGAAAACACATGAGATTTGAGAGTAATGTTCTTGCAAATGAAAGCCCGAGTAGGGACCAGCCAGTAAAATCCGCCAGAAACACTTTAAATGGAGAAAATATTGACTGTGTAGCAAGGCAAGACAACCTGACTCCAAATCCAGAGCATCCACATTATCCTGGATCAAGGCTTGGAAGATTACATCAGGCTGATGCTTGCTTACAACAGGATCATGAAGCTGGGCCACTATCTAATGACACCAGGAACGTGGATGGTCTTGTCAATCCTTCAAGTGATATAGACAGGGGAGATGTCCCCTTACCAAGAGGCTGCTTCCATTCTACTGCTGATCAGAATAGTCCAGTTGAGGCTATTGATGACACTGACTGTCACAATACCAGGGGTACTGGTCCAACACAGAAAAATTGGGACAAAAGTGACATTGTTTCCAAGATCTCAATGGTAGATAATTTGTTAAGCCAAAAAATTTCTCCCGACGATGCTGTGGAGATAATAGGTCAAAAACATTTCTGGAAAGCAAGAAGAGCTATTGTCAAGTAAGTCTTATTGCCTGTACATAGCACCTGTTACTGGGCAGTCCTACTAAACCTGAATCTTTCCTTGTTAATCATTTTTGGCATATATGATAACTGTACTCTATGGCATGCTTTTGTTGACGGTATATGTAATTGTTGAGAGCTGTAATGATTATAATTTTAGAGTGAAAGGAACATGACCTTATTTATTTTGATGTATTGGTAAGATTTTTTCTCATTTTTTAAACTATTATTTATTTTTATTTTTTTTATGTTTGGTTAGTTTTTGAGGCCTTGTTTGAGAAAATGAGAAACATTAGAGAAGACCGGAGGACCAGAAATGGTGAGTTTTATGAAACAATTACTTAGTGCCAGGATTTTTTTAATACTCATTTTGTCATACAATTGAATTTTGAAGCGCAGTTTAGGTGTCACATTGTCTTTTCTCTCTGTTTTTTCTTTGGCAAATAAACTATGGGCCAGTTCCAATCAAGATTCTACATCAGCAGGGGCTTTGAGTTCCCAAAAGATCCTTAGGAACAAGAGCTCCCTAAAAGTTGGGAGGTCATACCCTGTTTACATTTGACTGCATATTGGGTTAATCAATCCGCTGGCGTAGTATCTTCTCTCCTAATGTGATTTAAGAAACTGTCCATTGCCTCTGTATTAACTCGTTAGTAAACAACACTTTGGAGCTGGATGGCTTGAGTTGTTCAGCATTGCCATTGATGGTTTGAATTTGGTACAGTGAGTCAGATTGCTCTTCTAATTTTGCCTGAAACCAAGATCTTAGGCTAGTTGTAGACCTTCCTTAATTCCCCAAGCTTCTGCCTCATCCATGCTACATAATTTCAGGAACTTATAAAACCCTCCTTGCCATTGTCCTCCTTCATCCTTGATAATACCTCCACAGCCAGAAATACTACCATTTCCCTCACTGACTCATCCATGTTCACCTTCATCCTTCCCCTTTTTGGTTTTTTTCCAAGTGCATCCATGCAGACTCCCCCATGTTCCAAGCCTTCATTCTCTTTCCTTGAAGCAAAATTTCTGTACATATTTAACAGACTCACTGCCAAGTTTTGCTCTGACAAAAATTTTGTTTAAAGCACTCTGTTATCTTTAGTTCATAGATTTCATGTTATATAAATATATCTTTAGTTCATAATTTTACCCTAGAAAGTGCAACTTTTAACTGTTCTACAAACTTTCCTTGTTAATTGACCCTGTTGAGAGTGCTGAGTGTATTTAGAATTCAATGTACGTCTTAAAGTTCCCCTTGTAGAGTTTGATCTAACAATAAATAAGAGAAAACGATATTCCTTGAATATTTCCTTCGAATTATATAATGTGATTTTCTGCCTTGAAATGTTTTTTTTTTGGGTCTTATAAGTTTTTGTTTTAAACTACGAGATCTTGTTGGAATTGTATTGATCCACGTCCAAGGGATTTGTGTCTTATCAAACATGTGTTATGATGAGTTACAGGAGTATATTTATGCTCAGTAATATGCTCCTACTGACAGAGGCCTGTATTCTATGATGATATGATATGTAGCATAATTGACGATATCAAGTATGATTGAAGATCCTGTAATTGTGAGTGTTATTAATTTATATAATAGTCCTTCCTGCTTGATCGTATCTAGTTCCAAACCTTCTGTCCAGATCCTGTAATTGGGATTGTTATTAATTTATATAATAGTCCTTCCTGCTTGATCGTATCTAATTCCAAACCTTCTGTCCAATTGATTTTGATTCTACGTGCTTCAAAGCTTCACTGTGATTTTTCTTGATCTAACTTCTGTTCCTCTTTGCAGTCAACAGAGAGCGTTTGCAGTCCAAGTGTTTGAGTTGCACAGACTGATAAAGGTAAAATGATGTCTAGCGCTAAGTGTCTTGTGGTAGTCTAAATTGAGAAACATGCTAGCTTTTGTCATATATAAATGTTCGTCTGGAATTTATGTAGAGTATTATTTTTAACATTAAGCAGGTCCAACAGCTAATTGCTGGATCACCAGATATTTTGCTTGAGGATGGTGCTTTTCTGGGAAAATCTACTTTGAAGGGATCTGCGCCCAATAAACACTCATTGGAATGTGTTGTAAAACCTCGGCAACAAAATCTCAAATGCAAAGATGACTCTAAAAAGCATAACCATAAAATGGAATGTTCTGCAGAGAATGCAGTTGGTAAAACATCTCTTTCATCTGTGAAAAATGGCAGCCACCTTTCAAATTACGCCCCCATTTTTGGAAACTGCCACCAGGTAAGCAATCCCTGGTATTTACATCAGTCAGCTGGTCATCAGTGGTTAATTCCTGTGTTGTCTCCTTCTGAGGGGCTTGTCTACAAGCCATGTCCTGGGCCTGGATTTACGGGAACAGCTTGTGGGGGATATGGGCATTTTGGGCCAGGTTTTCTGGGTGGTGCTTTTATGAATCATGCCTATGGAGTCCCAGCTTCTCATCAAGGCTTTGGGGTCCCGACAGATACACCGCCAAGCAGTCATGCTTACTTTCCTGGTTATGATATGCCAGTTATGACTCCAGCGATATCTGGGTCAGCTGTTGAACAGAAAAACCAGTTCGCGGGACCAGGTTCTCATGGTAAAAATGGTCGTTTGTCTGGTAAAGGAGATAACTGCAACAGCAACAGCAATGCTTACAATCAAAGCTCTTGTAATTTGCCGCCAGTTCAGAAGAGTGGAACTATAGCACAGTCACTGGTCAAGAAATTTCAGGCATCTAAGGCTTGTGAGTTACAAGGAAGCACAGCAAGTAGTCCTGGTAAAATGGCACAAGAAATCAGCAGCACGGGTCAAATTGTTGAAGGAAAGGATGCGCTTCCTCTTTTTCCAATGGCTTCTCCAGTTTTTCCTGAGGCAGAGGCGGAGAGAGCCCCCCGGTCTACCCTAGAAATCGGACAACGGACTCGAGCGATCAAGGTTGTGCCTCACAACCCCAGATCTGCAACGGAATCAGCAGCTAGAATTTTCAAGTCAATTCAAGAAGAGAGACGAAGGTATGACTCTGTATAGTGTGCCCTTCATCTAAGGTTTTCTTTTTCTTTTTCTTTTTCTTTTTCTTTTTAATGGATAAAGCCCTTCATCTGAGTTGGTATGCTGGATCAAGTGCCTGTATTCTTGAGGCCCATTTGGTATATGAAAAAGGATTTGAGAAAACGGAAAGCGTGAAGAGAATTACTTTTATTATGTATGGTGGATGACAAAACGGTCTTGAAAAAACTTCCCATGTTTGTGGGGGAGAAGTTTCCCGTTCTCATTTTCTTTTTCATTCCATTTTGTACTGAATGAGCCCAAAGAGTATAATTACATTTTACAGTGGATTATTTCCTTTTAATTTTTGCCTTTTGTTTTGGTCTAACTTCAATATATTCGTATGTAGATATCTCTGAATTTTTTTTTTTGAGCAAAAGATATCTCTGAAACATTAAAATTAATCAATTGTAATATTATTAGCATATTTTGTCTTCATATGGATGCCACTGAACTTGTTGATCCGGAAGAGTAAGGTCTAGTTGGGAAACTTGGGATGAATCCGTAAAGCCTTTTTTCGCAGGAGCTATTGCGATTGCCAAGTATGTATGTATGTATTTCTTCCGGACCACAATATAGAGCATCTTTTAGAAGCTTTAGTTGGTTTAAAATAGAGTATTAAATAATTTTTATATTTATTTTTTTTAAGTGTACCCCTGCTTTATTTATTACCCCTTTTGAAAAAAATAATGTATTAAAATGTTAACTGTCATTATCAAGACATTTATATAGGATAGGATACTTAATAAGGGTATAATTGAAAAGATGTAAATTTTTTGTAAAGAAATTTAGATTTCGACTGACATTTTTTTTTTTTATGACAGTGAATTAGTTGCTTATGTTTTATATTGTGATTTGGAGGGAGTATATATATACATGTATAGGAAAAATTAATATGCCAATTCTTATAGATTTGCTGAATTTTGAATCAAGCCCGCGGAGCTTTTTTCCCCCTTTTATCAAGCGCTTATAATTTATCCCATCTGATCTTGTATGCAATTGACTGTTGCCAAAAAGGAGGGATCGTTGCATTATTGTTGTTGTCATTGTTGATGCTGTCGATAAAAGAAAGAAATCTCTTGGTTTATTTTTATTAAATTCACTGTCTTTAAAAACACTTTTTCATGCATGCAATCTTTTACTCTATTTATAAAAAAGTGGGAATGGTAAAATTAGAATAAAATAAATTATGATTCATCTTTTTTATACAAAGTAATTTGGTAAAAAGGATTATAAATTCTTTTTATACATAAGACAGTAAGAATGTCAATAAAAAAGTGATATGTCCCCATTCATAGGAAAAGGGGGAAAAAAAGTTACATCAAGATATAAAAGAGCAGCATGCTTTGAAAACCAAATTCTTTCCTCTCCTTAGCTCTAATACGCGTTGTTGTGGAATCGTGACTGGAAAATAAACCAGTGCTGAAGACTGAAACAATACACCCAACACGTATAATAACCAGACCTCAATGTAATGATGTAATGCATACTCTTTGGGAAATTTCGAAAGTAAATGAAAAAACATCACAGCAGACGAAATTCCTTTCTTAAGGGGAAAAAAAAAAAAAAACTTTAGACAAAGAAGGTGAACGCCAGCAGAAGATTAACGCCGTCTCCGGTCAAATCTTCCACTTCAACAAGGATCTTCGTCTGACTCTAACGCCAATGCCTCTCAACTTTCCCACTTCGAACTGGAAAACCCAATGCGAGAAAGAAAACTGAAGCCGCATGCCTATTCGACATCGATGCCTTCCTCGTTCTTGCTCAGGCACACACGACTGAGACCTCCGCTTCTTGCTTCTCTTCTCAAAGTCGACGAAGGAACCCCAGGTAGCCCTATCACCGGAGTAATAATATAACCCGACTTCAACCCGAAGACCAACGCCAGTTTCATATTTGGAAGTCCAATTACATCTGCATGCGCATGGCAACATGAATCCACATGTTTGTTTAGTCACCAACCAATTTAGGTTAGCCACTTCAAATATACCCGCTCCATTTATAAGCCACATTTTAAAATGTTCATTTGATTGTATTTATAAATTATGGTGTGATTTTTTAAGTAATATTAAAAATATATTTTTAAAATTATTTTTATAAAAAAAATAACATAATATTATTTTTTAAATTTGTTATATGAGCATGTTTAAAATTCTACACACTTTTATCTTTTGTATTTTTTTATATTGATATTGATGAGGTTGTTAAAAATAATTTATAAAGAGAATTTTTTTACACATATATATTATATCAACGCTTTTAATAACTCTGCTTGTCCTTGCTCAACGTTTTGCTTCTTTATGGATGGATGCCTTAAATGGAGTCAACTACAAAAAAAAAAAAACAAAAAAAAAACAACTATCTCATCACTCAAAGTAAGGTGAAACGTGAAACTGTAAAAAACCGAAAACTGATTTATTAGAATTTCCCATTTTTTTATTGGAAAGTTGATATTTAATCTGTGGCAATTAGTAAAACCGGTGATTCGAGTGGGCCTACTTATTTTGATTAGGTTCAATTCGAGTCGAACTTATTTGAATCAGGTTTAAAGTATCATACTCTCTTAAAAAACTTATATAATTAACTCTCACTCTAACTTTTTTCAGTCAGGTTTAGTCAAAATTACCTACTCTACATTCACAAAGAGTTAAAAATTATAGGGGTGAGGTTCAATTCAATTCGGGCTTTAAATATTCTACTCCTTTAAAAAGCCCATATAGTCAAGTTCAACTCTAACCATTTTTTAAGTGGGTTCGTGCTTGGCCCAAATACCCAAATAAAAAATAATTTTTAAAAATATAAAATATAATAAATATTAATTCTTTAAATTTTATATTATTTTATACTAAAATACCATACATTTGAGTGTATTACTATATTTATTTTTTTAAAAAAAATTATATTTTCATATTTTTATTCAATAAAATATATCAAAATAGTATTTAAATATATTTTAATATTGATTTTAATATTTTAAGACCCAATTTTTTTTTAAAGTTGAGTTATATACATCATTTGCGTGTCTAAAAAATATATTTTATATTTTTGTTATAAAATAAGATAATTAATTAAAAGTAAAAATAATTTTAAAAATAAAATTTGGGTATGTACGAATTTTTAATTCTATTATTAGATCAACATAATAAATAGAATGATATTATTGAATAATTATTTGGTTATCGTCCGCGCTAACCTTGATTAAACATTGAGAATAACTAGATTAAATACTTTTTGTATGTAGGTGTTAAACAATATCAGAAGTTAAAGAAAAAATGATTCAAAAATAAATAATATTTTACTCATAATTAAATAATTTTTTTTATATAATATAATGATGGTTATTTTTCTCATATTTTTAAAAATAAAAAGTATAGTTTATCTAAGAATTATTAAAAACTTTGAACTAATTGGGACAATAATTTTAAATTAGTGGTTTACCCGTAATTGAATTAAGATTAATTTGATCATAATTAAAATATATAAAATATTTATATATAACCATAATAAGAGCAATATTTAAATAGTTAGTACATTAATTTATAAGTAAAAGAAATATTTATGAATAAATTACACATAATACAATAAAATAATAATAGAGATATTTAAGTATAAAGTTGATAAGTTATTATTTTTATTTTATTCTTTTAAATTTAAAATAATATTTTATGTTTAATTTTTTTTAAATTAAAATTAATTCAAAAAATTAAAAATTAAAAAGTTTCGAGTATTCAGGCCAGTCTGAATAAGCCCAAAGCTAGAAGGTTTTAAGATCGAATTTGACTATATGATTTTTTTAAAAAAGATATAATATTTGAACCAATACAAATAAGCTCAGCTTGAATTGAGCCTGCCTTGCTTAAATTACCGACTCTAGTAACAATATTCCTCCTATTCTTACAAGTGATGGGTTAGGGTGAGAATAGATCAGGTCTTTAACATGGGCTCATAACTTGGTTTATTTCAGACCTAACTTAGCTTATTTACTAAATAAGCTCAAGTCAAGTTCAAACTTTTAATTATATTTATTTAGTTAAATAAGTTAGATCTATTTTTTCAAAGCTTAGCCTACAAGCTCAATAGGTCAACATATTTACCCACATTGATATATATTATGTAATACATTACAAATACATTAGTTTTAACATTTAATTTTTAATCAATTTAATTTTTTTATTTTTAGTTATATTTTTAATCATCTGAGACTTATAAATTAATTTTAATATTTATAGTTGATAAATTCTTTCAATTATTATATATTATAATAGATGAATTAAGTTATATATATTTTATATTATAATAGTTCTAAAGTATATTGAGATCTATAACTAAAATATAAATTTATTTAAAAGTTTTATTTTTAAGTAAGCTTTTAAATAGGTTTTCAAGTTAAGCCAAGCTTTATATAGTTTCAAGCTTGAAGTATAAAAAAAATCTTATCTAAGTTTCAAGCCAAGAAAAGACCTTTAATTTATCATTCAGACTTAAGTTCATTTGATCAAAATTTAAATCTGCCTAGCCTATTTTCACTTCTAGTGTTGGGGTAGTTCAGACATGTGTCCCCAGGGGCAAAATTGGAAATTCAAGTTGATGCCCGCTTACTGATTGCATATAAGATCCGTCTGAATTCGAGGGGAGGAGAGGAGAGCGAAGCGCGGGACAGTAGTGAGGAGGATCGCTTGAAGTTGAAGCGCCAACAAATAACAATGGTGAACTACATGCTGATGATTACCGCTGACCTTGAGAACCTCACCAATCTTCAACCCCAAGGTGGCTGCGATGACCCCAACTTCTCCTACCTCTTCAAGGTCTCTCTTCCCCCTCTAGTAGGGTTTTGTCTTTATCATTCATTTCCTTATTCTTTCCTCTAATTCTTCAATATTCACTTTCGCTCCCTATTGCATTGCATTGCTCTAATGACTTTGATTCTGACACGCGATTCTTCAGTCCATTATCTGCCTACTCTTTCCTGACACTGATTCTGCTCTACTTTGATTTATTGGATGCTGCTTGTTTCTACTTCATATGTGTGGGCGCCATGGGTTCATTCTTGATTTTTCTTTTCTTTTTTTAATGGGCGACAGATAATAGCTTGTAATTATATTAAGTTGTTCTTTTCCAAGGTGTCTTGCGCAAGTCTCGCTGCATAATATAAGAATATCGCGAAAGCTGCTTTGCATATCCTTGTGATATTTCCTTGTAGGTAAAATGTGGGAGATGCGGAGAGGTCAGCCAAAAGGAAACTTGCGTGGAATTGAATGAAACTGTTCCTCTCCCAGTTGGTAAGGGGACAACCAATCTCATTCAGAAGGTAATTTCAATCTATCCATTTACCAGTATCCATAGAGGGAACATCACTTGGAAAATTAAATAATTTGTTAGCTGTCTGGCGCACTTAATGATTATCTCAATTCTATTGGTCCGTGATGATTCTGAGATTTCCTTCCGCTATTATGGTGCTAATTTACCTGGACCCTTTAGCATCCTGGACATTCAGAGTTCCTCATTCACAAATTAGTGCTAGTTACTATTAGCTTCTTCTAGCATTTAAGACTAGGATGGAAGTATTTTAATTTATTAGCACTTGAGATTTCTGACAAGAACCATGTGTATGGATTTCGAGAAAGGTACAAGGCTTGCAAAACACCTTAGGTACAAGGCACTAGAAAGGCGTGCGCCTGAGTGAAGCAAGGCCCCACCATCTGAAAATACATAATGTATAGACAACATGATAAACGTGTCAATTCCTGGATGAGCCTCCTAGAGGCTTGCGTCAATTGTTATATAGGGATATGAGTGGTTTTTACTGTTTTAGAGTCTCTGACTCTTAGTTTTAGAGTCTCTGACTCTTAGTTTTTGTTTTGTTATGGGCTTTGGCCCCGATTTGTAATAAAAAAAAAAAAAAGATGATAAATGTGTACTTAACCTTCATATAAATACTCTGAAAATTGTGTCATGTGAAGAAAACATAGGTAAAAGTTGCAATCATTTTGTACATTATGAATAAATATTCTGATAATTGCAAGCCGGCACGAAAAGGCGCTCACCTTTTGCTCAAGAAAGGCACACAAGGCACCCAAAGGCAAGCACCTGAGTGAACCCATTGCCTGGCTTCACATGAGAGGCAATGAGGCTGTTCTGCGCCTTGCCTCAGCGCCTAAGGCACAAAGGCCTTTAACAACACTGTAGGCACCTGTTAGATTGCTTTTCCACTATGTATGGATGTACACATGACAAAGGAGATGCAACCATCACCCTCCTGCAGTTTTCAGACTGAAATCATTTCTCGAATGTAGTTACCAATAAGGAGATCATGAATAGTCTCTTGCTATTTGACCTGACTTGTTAGTGTTGTCATTTTGTGAGCTTCGGTATGTCTAATTAGAATTAGGATTTTACTAATTTAGCAAGATCGACCTTTATGCTCTTCGCTCTCACATAGGAGTGATTAATCTCTGTTGCTTAACTTCAACTTTGACAATAATTCATCCACGTGAGATTCTTCTGAATGTTTTCCTACAGCTGGTTGATTCCTGATGCTTCTTCTTTGGTCTGCAGTGCAAGTTTTGTGGCAGGGATGGCACAGTGACAATGATTCCAGGCCGAGGTAAACCACTTACCCAGGAAACAAGTCAATCAGGGAATTATGCCCCATTAATGTTATTCGACTGCAGAGGCTATGAGCCAGTGGATTTCATATTTTGTGGTGGATGGAAAGTTGAATCTGTGAGTGTTTTAATTTCTGTATTTATCAGTACAAAATTGTACTGTATTGCCGGTCTCCTATAATTCTTCAATGCTGGCATTTAACTGTAATTTAAGTTCCTCCTCATATCCCATTTTAAATGAAGCAACAACAAACATTATGCAAACGCATCATTAGGTACTTTTTTTTTTTTTGAAGGAAAAAAAAAACTTCTGACTTGCTGTTGAATCTCACATATTAGTTGAATTGGTGGTTCTGTTGAGAGCTACATATAATCTTAAATCCTGTTGAAGAAGATTAGCCAAATATGTCCTGGTCCTTTCCCCATACAAAAGTCATCCATAATCTGTGCTTGTTCATTTATTAATGGAAGCTCCTATATGTCAATTATGGGTATCTGATTTCCTTCTTTGCCCCGTTTTTTCTTGCACTGAAATCTTGTTAGTTTCCTGCATCTCCTTTAAACCAAGGTATGTCTTCTGTAACAAGTATGAGCTGTATCTTGAATCCGGTCACCTGCTTTGTAGTGTTGGATTCTCACTACATTTGTTGTGTATTATATAATTAGACTATTGTATATTATATAAATTTGACTTTGAAGAGTCTGAGGTGAGTTGCTCTATTTATAATTTATAGAAGTATGACTTATTCTTGTATTATACAGAGATTTATTTCCTTACTTTATTTTTATTACTTCCTTTTAATGTTTTCCCTATTTACTTACTATTGCAAGTTTTACTTATGTAGCTAGAGGGAACTAAATTTGAAAATGTCGACTTGTCAAGTGGAGAGTTTGCCGAATATGATGAGAAGGGAGAGTGCCCAGTCATGATATCTAATGTGCGTGCTACCTTTGATGTGGTAAAGTAGAGTGGACGCCATAAACATGGGCAAGGACGAGGTAACGTCCATTGACATGGTGAACGGACAAAACATTGAGTTGATGTGTTATTTGGAGAACTGGGCATTGAACTGGTGTTCTTGCTTTGGAGTTTGGATGCTGTATGTAGTTTCTAACTAGCCTGTTTTCCTGGTGTATAAAACTATTCTGATGTGAATGAGCTTCTAAGATGTGACCTGCATCATATCATAATTAGAAACAAAATTTGTGGGTTTTTTTGTTGTTGCAAGGAACAATTAAAAACCTCACCACACCGATGTCCACAACCTTCTTTCTCGTAGGAAAGGAAACTCGCATACGCCTTCATTCAGAGTGTTGAACCTGCAATCTTCTCAAGGGGAGGTGCTTGACGCTATTGTGGCCCTAGTATTTTCTTATTTATAGAAAGAACTTGATATTTTCTTCATAAGCAAGACAAGACAAGAGCGTCCTACCGATTGACTTTGGACAGGGGACATTACATGTAAAATTAGAGCTGGTAATTTAAAGGAATCATACTTATTTGGATTGGGTTTATAATGTCCAAACATTTAAAAGATATAATAATGTCTAGTCCTAACACTCCAGACTTTTTGGGCTTTTTGGGTTGATTGGAATATGTGCATTGTTAAATATTATTTTATTTTTTTTAATTAATTTCAATTTTTATATTAGAAAATTAAAATTTTCATTTTTTTAGTTAATTGTAAATTTATTTGATTAATGATTAAAAAAATTGGGTTCGGCTTGATTTCAAGATTTTTTCAGTTTATTTAAACTTAATTCAAATTATCAGTTCTATGTAAAATGTTGAGATGACGTCACTGGACAAGTCAAGTGGTCCCTATTAGCATGCATCTGCCCTCTTCCCGTTCAAAAAGTGGGGACTGAGTTATCGAAGGTTATACTTCGTCAGACTGTATTCCTTTAATTTGTCAACATAGTCGAATGTCGCATGCATTTTTGATATCACTTTCAGTGCTCATCACTATGCGGACAATCAGGTTTGTTATAATTGCATTTTTATATTTTTTAATAATTTTTTTATTTTAACAAGTACAAAATTTTTAAAAAATGACCTTATTTTTATAGTAAAACAAAAATTGTTTGTTAAAAATTTTAAATCTAAATTGTTAAAATCAGTTTTAGACTGCTGGTGTTCTGGGATGTGAAAGAGTTAGATCATGAAGGATAGATTGTGTAGCCTGCTCTGACGAAACAAGAATCCCGGATATAGTAGCACATCTAAGGGTACGTTTGGCATGCAGGATTGAGCAAGTGAGATTGAGTTTGGAATTGGGTAATAACAAATTTGTATGTTTGGTAGGTTGGATTGATAAATTTATTCTCAAGCCCAATTTCATTTAGATGGGAATACCTAATACCTTCTCTCTTTTGGTATTGAAAAATCAATCTCAAGATTAAAACTTTCTAAACCAAATTGCCCCTTCACACCATACACTCCCGCCTCTACCTCTGCCATTGACAGTGACGCTGGCATCTCCACCTCTGCCATCCACGGTGGCACTGCCCCTTGCAGGCCATGCTGTGCCCAAGATTGAAGACAGTAGAGAGGTCTTCCCTCGACGATGCTGGTTCAAGTTTGGCATTAATGGTTTTAAATTCAAGTTTGCTAGATCTGAGCTTTTGTCTTCCTCCCACCGTCGAATTTCCACAATAAGTTACATGTTTGAATTCACCATTGCTAGGTTCTAAGCTCATCTAAATCTATTCATTCTCTTCCTCGTTCCCATCCGACCGTGCATTTCTTTTTCTCTGTCAATGATAAGAGCAGTGTGATGAAGAAAGAAGAGGAAGAAAACGATGAGAATGGGTGGCGGGCTGAGTTGTGCTGCCGTGATCGTTGTTTGGGGCAGAAGGAGAGTTACAATTTTTTTTTTCAAGGGACATATAATCTTTCCACAATTTATGTTTAATTGTGAATAAAATAAAAATAACTAATCCCCCTACAGTGAAACACGCGCAGAAGGCCCAAAAGCAACGTTTTCCACCTCTAGCTTACAATACATTCGTGTACCCCACAATTATTCGTGTATTGTTTGTTACATCAGCTCCTTGTTAAAGTGACCACTCCCTCTGCCCCCAAAAACCCCTCGCCCAATTACCATCCTTTTGAGTTACGTCACTGTTCATGCCTCCACAACATGATCTCCCAGGTTAAGCTCCTGCTGAAAATGACATGTTTAACAAAACTTAAAAAAAAAGAAAAAGAAAAAGAAAAAGAGTGAACAAAGCACAATTAGCGTGGAAGAAGGGCGCAGAGAAAGTAATTTGCATTTGATTTCATGGCACGCTCAAAAAGCCATTGCAACATTATTCACATCCTCATCCAACACACGCATGTTCAACTTCATCTTATCGTTTTATCATCAACAAAGTCCTCTTCCGAGCGCCAAGCCCATCCGACTACCTGACCGCCTGCCTCTTCACTGCATCCCCCTATTCAGAATCTGAGTCCATGGTGCCCATTGCTTTGAGCCCTCTTGGTCTCTACACATAACACACATTGCACTTCTTTAGTGACGGTTGGGGTAAAATTTCAGCAATTATTGACACAGCTGGATTGGTCAGAGGGGAAAGGACATGCAATAACTGCAAAAGAAGCCAGACATTTAGCATCCAGGAAATGGAAACTAAAACTAAATACCTTTTTCGAGATCTTCTTCTCCCTAACCTCATATCGCTCTAAGGTGAGGTCGCACAGCCATGCCCCTGGACTCACGAACTGCACAGATCCAAGTAGACCAAATATACAGCTCAATATCTCATCATCCAAGTTTTGCAATTGATTAAAGATTCCAACCCATTGGGGAATATGAATAAATCCAAAACTACAGACAGAATACTTCTTTAAAAGTACATGTAGAGAAGAAGTCGAATATGCCCCCAACACGCACAAAGGAGGTGGAAGAGAAAAGACAGGTCAGCCGCCCCGGCCCAGCCGGTGCCCCTTTTTTAATTTTGTCGGTTACTTCAATCATCTGACATTTAGGTTTTCATAACGACTTCATCACAACCGTCCACGTGGCCCAACCGGCAGCTCGCGCCCCCATCTCGCGGGATGAAAGCAATATGCTCACTTTCACTTTCCCAACATGTCTTGTATATTAAACACTTTATAAAAAATATAATATTATCTATTTTATAAGTTAATAATTAATAAAATTATTTTATTTTAAATTAAAATTCTCAAACTATCCTTTAAAAGTTAAAAAAATATATAAAAAATAATATTATAATATTTTTTTATTTTTTATCATTTACTTAAAGATTATATTTAAAAATTTTTTACTTTTATTTTTTATATTTTATTATATTGATATTAATAAAATTAATAAAAATAACTATAAATAGAAAGGGCAAGCAAGTGCTTTGTCTCCATGCCATGGTCATGTACAATTCTCCTACATCTTCAAACCTTTTCTTTTTCCCCCAGTGGAATTCACTTTATTCTTTTAATTTAAGACGTGAACTTTCATGCCAAAAAAACAAAAAAGGAGAGAGATTTAATTTTATTATGAAACACTATAATCAAAATTTATTGGGTGGTTTTCAATAAAATCAAGGGAAGAAAAAGACAAACTGCCAGGACGCCCAAGGTATATTACACAGCTGTCTGTCCGCAACTACATCAAGTGGCTTAGTGATCAGATCAGAACAGACACCAGAAAGGCCACCCAAGCAACGATTGAGTTCAATGGGGGCCCCACTATTGCCTACAATCCATTATCTTTCGTAATAATTCCGGAACGTAATATTTTATCAGATTTCCAGAGGCAAACGATTTTTCAGTACTAGCCTACGACAAAAGAAAGAATTTAATAACTCACGCACGCCACGAAAATTAAAATAAATAAGCTCCATCTCTATCTCCACTCTGATCCATAGGTTTTCCTGGGCAATCAAGGGTTGGAAAGGCCATCAATGAACCACTACCAGTTTTCACTCCAAAAACAACAAAAAACCACTACAAGTAACACAGCCAATTTTATTTTTTCCCAGGCCTTGTGGAGAACTCGTCAAATTTCAGTTTGCAAAGCCTAAAAATGTGTGTGTCTCCGTGTGTCTGTGTTACTGTGTGTGTGCGCGCGCGCGACCTCCAACATCAATGTTCCAGAAGGAAGCAAAGCTGTCGCACTGTGCCACTAGTTTTTCAGAGACTTAGCAACAAACCTTTGGTCACTGGTAAATGCAAAATGCAACATCCAGTTACTGCCGTAAAATTGTTTTGTACTTCTTGTTGGCCGCAAAAAAGTCCAAAACAACTATAGTGCTTATGCCCACAGTACAGGATAATTAAAATTCGAGCTGGGTAAATAATGGTACCCTTTCTGCGATTTTTTTTTTTGGTTTTTAAAAACTAGTTATTCTCAAGTCCCTAACTACCAAGAAAGCACAAGATCCAAATTCTAAAATGAAATCCATCATCTTTAAAATGAATCCATGGTTGATGAAATTTAAATTTTGAAATATTATATGACACAAACAAAAACTTCATCAAGAGGATATTGGACTGGAGCGAAAGAAGAAAGAAAAGAAAGGGCAGAGGGAAAAGGGTGGAGGAGCTTACATTGAGAGTGCGCTGGATGAATTTGGCCCGCTTCTTGGGTCTCTGAGGGAGCTTTGAACCCTTGATTGCCAGAAAATCTTCTTCCTTCTCCTTGTTGGTGAGGGCTATAACGAACTTCGGGGGCCAAACCGGAGGAGCGGCATCACCGCTGCCGGATGGCGAGCCGCCCTTCTTGCTATCGTGCGCGGTGTCGGAGGAGGCCGCGGACTTGTTATTGTCATGGTGGTGGTGGTTGTTGTTGTGATGGGACCCTCTCTTATCGTGCGCACCCCTGTCCGGGGACGCAATTCCCCTAACGCCCCCGTTGGTCTGGCCTCTCATAGCACTCGAACTCTCCGAGTTCCTGAATTAGAAAACACGCACCCCAATACCAGCAGATATTATATGTCCCTCTACCTTTGATAATCATATAACAAAATCACACGACAAATTTGGATTCAACATTGAGTCTCCGGGGGGGGGGGGGGAGAAAGGTGAAAAAGATTTTTTTTTTTGGTTTTTTAAAAAACAAAAAGTAAAAGGACAGGGGAAACCAACTGGAGAGTAGTAAAGTGACGAAATTGACCTCGGGACGGTCTAGATCGCTGGATTGGAGCAACTGGAATCTCGACGGGTTTTGCGTTAGAATATGGGGTGGGTCTTTTGGCTTCTTCGGGGACTTTACTATTTCAATTGCGTTTTAAACAAGGGGATCCTTCGTTTCCTTCCCTTCGTATCTCTCTCTCTATTTTTTTCCCTCTTTTAATATAATGAATTGATAGATAGATAGATCCATAGAGAGCTGTTTATATCGCAGGCAATAGACACAGAAAGGGGATTCCTGCAATGGGCACAGCAGGCATAACGGCCGTTGGATGGAGTTGCCTTTTGGATAAATAAAGGTTACGTGTCGAATGAGAGGGGCTTGCCGACCTCATCGGACGGCCATAAATGGGTGTCTTGCAGAAAAGGACATTTCCGGGGGGAAACACGTGGAAGGAGACATTTCCATTCCATGTTTCCAACGATTCTGATCATGGGCGGCCTGTTGAGAATAAAACTGGTGACAGAGTCTTTGCAACACGCCTCCCCGTGGCCATATGTTTCATCCATCCCATTAAGAGCAGCCCTAGGACTTCAATTTCGGCGACGTATCGGTGCAATCCAATCGGAAACCGCGACCCGAGTCTAAAATTTGATAGACAAAAAAAGGGCCGAAGATTCACCATCACATAGTAAGTTCCAATTAACCCTAAACCGTGAGATGAGAGGGTTGAAAGGATATGGTCCCAAAACACAGGCAAGCACCAAAGACATAGGCAAGGAATAGTGATCGTACCTCAAAAAACAACACGGCAAGGGCAGATTGGATCAGAGTTGATAGGCTACCTAACGAAGAGATTGAACTAGGACGCGAGAGAAAGAGAGACAGAGAAGGTAAGGGAATAATTTTTTTTGGGGGTAAGGACGGATCTCACGTACTAACCGGAAGTGATATCTCATATTCCACTTGGATGACACATTATCCGACTCATACTCAATTCTCATCCTAGTAGTATAAATTTATCTTCAACAGACACCTGCCAGACATTTCCCTCTCATCTCACTGCTGCTCCTGCAACTCCGGCACTTGCCACCTCTTTTTCATTTGAATAGGTAAATCCGCTATTTGAAATTGCTGTTAACATGTGAGATTTGCGAGGAAGGAATATGGTGGCCGACATGGACAGCACCATTATAAAAGCGGTGCCACAGCCGAGCAGTGTCCCTCATTATTCAACACATCTGCCCCCACCCCCTCCACTTCCCCTCCATCCCTCCATCATAAACGCTTCCTTTTTCTTCCCCTTCATTATATCATCTCACCATAACTAACTATTCCAATTGGATCTAACCAAATCTCCATCCATCACTTGAATCTTCCACCTATTTCTAGCCGTATTTTACTAATATCTCACATTCCGACCAATAAATCTTCGCTCTTTCTTTAAAACCAAAATACATACATACATACATACATACATACATACATATATATATATATATATATCATCAAATCAATATATAATGGTACTAACAAAAGAGAACCGAGTTCAACATCGTTGACGAGTCAACCACAGTAGCAAAACCCAGGTCGTGTGATGGACTTGAATGCAAACCGAACCTTGACCGACTCGGTTCCCTTGCAAACACTCCATTTCTTATAAATCCTTCCTCTTCACGCCACCTATTAAATACTCCTGACACATGCTAATCTTTTTTTATACAGGTGGCAAATCACGCCCACAAACCCTAATGATATATATATATATATATATGAATGTGTATTTCTTTTTCCATTATCCACGATCAAGAAAGATAACGAATTACGAATATACCTGAGAATTCGTGGAGGCGGCTGTTGCGGCGAAGATGACCGTTGACGGAGATTAGGATAGCGGTTGCTATGACTATGAGTGGTAGAAGCGGTTGCGGTATTAGGAATGGGAGGGGTGGAGTGATTTGGAGGATCCTTGACGACCCGGCGGTCCACCCGAACCGTCGTGCGATGAACCGTGGCGGAAGAGTCGTCTTTCACCTGAATCTTCATGCACCTCAGCCGCTTCCGGTTCCCCCACTGCAGCACAAAATCAGACGACGTCGTCGTGATGGTGGTCGCTGCCGCCTGTCTGATGGTATCAGAACTCCCCCTTAACAACAACGACGAAGCATCTGCTGCTGAAACCCAGCCTTTGTCTTTGGGATTGTTGTTAACGTTGTTGTTGCTCCTAAGTGTCTCTTTATCCATCTCCTTCCTGCACCTGTCGTCATTAATAGGTAAAGTTAAGGGGGTTAATTTTGGAATTACACAAACTATTATTTGTATCAAATTGGAATCCTGTAACCTCCCCACCACTAACGCCCCAACCCCTCCACACCCGGGCCTTCAAGCAATCACATTCATCGATCCTTTAACTCTGAATAGAGCATGGTACGGTCAAGATACCCTACCAAAACTTTTTTTAAAAAGAAAAAACCAACAACGATGGGAATCATGTGCGCTGGGAGCATCTTCTGTATCGCTGACAAGACGGGGGATCAAATTTATGAGACGGAGAACCTGAGATTATGAAAATCTTTCGGCATCCAAAATAATTCAAAATCCAAATCTTTCCTTAAGGGGGGAGTATGGCCACATTTGGACAGGAAAGACAATGTAGAGTATAAAGAAATGCAAGACGACATGAATTCAACGCTCCTCTCGGGCAAGAAACACCCCAGAATCAGCCCTCCGTTCTCTGTCCATCATTGCATCGGCTCGCTTGAAACCTTGAATTGTGACGATTGAGATTCCCTAAAGACTTGAAACCAAAATCAAGAGTCATTGAGAAAGGATAAAGAAAAAAGAGGACATAAATTTAGGGCTAGGCCTCAATCAACCATTGTAGCACCACGATGTGAAAACATAAATCGCGTGTGAGAGTGAAAGATGGAAAATTCAACTGGCTCTCCATCATTCAAGAAACTGAAAGACAAAAGGCGAATCCCATCACCGAACAAGAATCGGGAAAATTAATATGAGCCTGCTCGAGTAACAGAAGATTAACGGCAGCGCCAAACAGCCGGCGTTGGAGGGAGTACCCAAATCCTTGAAAGCATATGCGAAAGAAAGGAGCATCCAAATTGTTATAGGAGGAGAGAGATCAGGAAAGCAATCACAGGACGAGACAGAGCCAAAGAATTAATGCATTACCAGAAAACTTCGACTCTGCAAGCGATCAATTTCTGCTCGGGCAATTGCACGCAGAAGAAAGGAGCCGATTTTTCAATATCCTGCGAGAAATCATCGAGAAGAAAGAACTCAGAGCAGCGTAAAAGCTATCGACCATAGCAGAATGGGATCAACCACTGAGGCGAAGAGCAGCAAATCAGCAGCCAGATTTCAATTAAATCAATTCCTGACTTCTGATTTTTAAGAAAGTATGTTATCCCCTCACCTCAATCAATCTGATTCAGCTAAAATCCGCTACCCAGGATGCACGAAAAAGTTCGCCGCTTTCAGTTCACAGGCCTTGATTAATGCAAAGCTATTGCGAAAATCCAACTAATGATGACATTCTCAGTTTAAATCCGCGACTCCGGTTAAACTTAGCAAGCGACGGTCCTTCCAGTAATCTGCCGGACAGTTTCTAGTTGAATAGTCCGCCTTAGCTTTCCTGGAAAATGCGTCTGTAGATGACGAAAACACAGAAATAACTAAGTTTAGATGTCAAATAACAAAAACAGAAAGAGGATGAAGCTCTGGCTTGATTAATTCCCAACCTCCAGAATTGGCGATTCTCAAGAGTCACCTATGCATCACAATGAACGAATGGAATCTCCAGAACAGCTAGAGGAATAAATAAAATCGATTTCTGGCAAATTCGCCAATTCCAAATGCTATTGGCATGCACCTGTCGACAAAAATGAGCCAAAAACATATTTCAGTCAATAATTCGAATTGGCCACAAATTTGAGATTCTGCTCCATGAGAGACAGGGAAGAAAAACAGAAATAGAAATTGAGCTTATCGCTCAATATAGAACCTTTTTCTACAATTACATACATATATCTTGGAAGAAGCCCCAGATCCTTGACATTCACCGTTCTATTATCAAATTTTGTATCCTAAATCCCCGTTTGATTTGACGGATAATGGGGAATGGAACAAGAAATCTGTCGAAGATGATAGAGAGACGGAAGAAGAGTACAGGGAGCTTCTTCTTCTTCTTCTTCTTCTTCTTCTTCTAAAACGAAATGCAGAGCTTTTCTTGTACGAGGCTTTTTTATATACGTGGTGTGCTACTCTCCTTCACACCAACCGTCCCCTCCGAGAATTGATGACCGCTCATCAAGAATCAGACGGCAGTCGTTTATCCTCCCTTAAACTTTGCAAAGGTCACCACCCATGACGTGTTAACCCCGTTACGAGTTCTCTGCGTTGCCCCCTTCGCCGTTAAATCACATCTCACATCGTGAGCCCCGTTTAGCGAGATGAGATTCAGATATTAATTCCCCTAAATATAATGGCTTTTTGTTTTATTTTTTAGAATATAATGTTTTACTTAATATCCCATCATTTTTTCTGTAAAAGACATATACTGCCCTGATTTCTTAACTGAACTTTGAAAAGGTATAATTTCCAATTTTCTTTGCGTCTTCTACCAAAAAAAAAAATCATTGGATTTTTCTAATAAAATATTTAGATTAACTGATTCTAAATGGTCAAGTGTCGCAATAGATCTCATAGCTCAAAAGGCGTTATAAAAGTATTATATAATATATAATTACCCGCCAACGAAACTTTTGCATTGATAAATGTGATTTAAATTGACAGCCTGGCCATGTATGAGTTGCATCCTCAATGGCTGAACTTTTTTTTTTTTTGGGATGAGAGGCATACTAATTTTCATGCTCTCATTTTTACATACATATGTATTTTTCGGCTGAAAAAAACATATAAATATATTCTAGCTTAGTTTGCTCTAGTAATGGTTGCAACAATGGGTCTCTCTCCTGGCGTTTTTTTTTTTTTTCAATGGAAACTCCTCATCAAGGCCGTGTGAACTGTTTGGCCAATGTGACAATCACCTTAGGCCTCCAAAAATATTTATCTATGTTCTATAAAATTAGTCATTATTTTTCCCATTATGTATTAATATTAATTATATACTTTTATTTGAAAACGGGAGTTTTGCTTAAAAACAAAAAACACCAGTTATGATTTCAAATATCCACCGTATCATGTGTGTTTGTTTTTCTTTTTTTTCTTTTTATTTGAAATTGTGATTTTTTTGCTTTTTTATAGGATTTTGAGGTGGCAAAAATGTTAAATAAAAAATTTGAATCTAGTTTTAATCAATTGAAAAAATAATATGAAAATAGATTAATTATAAGGGGTTTTCATAGATACCATTCATGTTATAGGACCAAATCAAGCAAACAATTCAACATTTATTATATTTTATATTATAGTTGATTTATTATATTTGTCAAGAATATATCACTGTATATCAATAATAAACCCCTTACAAATTTTTACATTTTTAATGATAAACTATTTTTATATCAACAATAAACTTTTTATATATATCAATATAAACTTGTTATACTTTTAAAGTCTTGAAAATTTCGTCCATATTTCTTGGACACAATTTTTTTGAATTGGTGAACTAATTTATTCTAATTATAATATATTAGGCCTCTTGAATAATTTTGTTTTAGAGCCCAAAATTTCTTTACATGGCCCAGCTCATCATGGTAGAGTAAGGTTTAGTGAATCATTTTGATTAATTGAAGAGTTATAAACATTAAACTTAAATCTAGTAACTATATATTGACGACATCATTAAATCATGGCTGTCTGTAATTCCATCGCGATTTTAACTTCGATTTTTAATAAATGACAAGATAAATAAATTAATAATATCTGTTCAAATTATATCAGATATCCAATAAAAATATTACATTATCTTGATTTTTTTAAAATATACAAAGTAACTTCTATCGATAAAAATATGTAAAGATGCGCTCATTAGAAAATAAAGTTCATAAATTTAGTTCACGTAAAATTTAAAGTGATTACTTTATATTCATCAATTACATGTCCAGTATTCGTCATGACATGTAATAAATACAGGACTATATGAATTTAAGGTCTCTCTTAAGTTTAAAGGAAATGACTATAAATTTTAAAAAAATATGTTAAAAAAAAAAGCATGCAATTTGAAATTCTGAACTCTTGAAAGAAAAAAGGTCATCAAAAAAAAAAACTAAATACTTTAAACATGTGCATGATTTTGTTTTTGGGTAAGTAGCATGACTTTTTGTTTACTATAGAACCAATCCAAATAAAAATTTGCTAGAAGGGCCAATTTCACATATCACTAGAATATTAGTGCTATCAGTAGTACTCATTGAAAAATGAGTAAAATAGAAAATTTGGCCATGTAATGTTTTTTTCAAGAACATTTGATAGCTTAAACTATCAGATGGTGTGAAATAAATCATGAGCTTTCAAAAACAGAGCATCTAGTAATCCACTGCTAGCTTCAGTGGACGGACATTATGAGGGATTCACAATGACACATAACACTCCATGGACACTTCACATCAGTATATGTAAATGTGTAAATTTAGCTACAAACTATTTTTTGAGGAGTATTAGGTAGCATCTACTATAAAAAACAGATCATCCAATATCTTTCTATCAATTTTGACTAAACATCATTTTTTCATATTTACGAGACTCACAACATATTAATTTCTCTAATTTTCTTGTCCTCGTTCTCAATCTTAATTCGAAAAGAAGAGGTTCAAAAAGTTTTCATCTAAAGGCATTCACGAGAACGATGTCAATGAAGTAGAAATTTGATTTTACTGCTCATGGAAGAAACTTGATTATAGCTTAATTTAGTCATGAATTATTTTTTCTACTTTATTGGCATCACTTTCGTGAATGTTTTTAGATAAAAACTCTTTGAACTTCTTTTTAGGCTGAAACTGCGAACGAAAGCAAGAAAATTAGAGAAAGTGATGCATCGTGGGTCTCATAAGTCTGAAAATAAATGATGTTTGGTCAAAATTGATATGAAAATGTTAGATGGTCCCTTTTTTATAGTAGAGGCTACTTAATACTTCTCAAAAAATAATTCATGACTGAATTTGCACCTTTACTATGCTGACGTGGAGTGTCACATGTCATTGTGGATCCCACATAATGTCCTTCAACTTAAGTTAACAATAGGCTATTGGATGTTCTATTTTTTAAATTTTATTATTTATTTCGCATCATCTAATAGTTTAGGCTACTAAATGCTCATAGACAAATAACAGGTGATCAAATTTGCACCCTTGCCCTTGAAAAAAAATAGAAAAATGAATGTTACTAGCACACGTAAGATATGTAATATGGTGTTCCGAAGTTCATACGTAGAAGGCCCATGTAAGATGTTTATATGTATTGTATCAGTCTAAATACATTATTTTGGTTAATCATCATCATGGAAATTTCAACGACATTAATTAATAATGGATATGCAACTCTGATGGCTCTGATATATTGATAATAGGAATCAATATTTCTAAAATCAAACATTTGAAAAGATAACTTACTTTGTCTGCAGTGTTCTTGTCCCTATAATCAGAAATTGAACAAAAAAAAAAGCCTCATTTGTTATGAACTATAGATTATCAATGGAACTAAAGCGAAGAGGAAATTTTATAAAAATTTAGAAAAACAATTGTGTGAACCAAGAGGAAAAAAATTAGTAAAGAATTTGTAGTAAATATAAATATAGATAAACTATAAAAAAAACTAAAAAAATCCATGAGAATCAATGTGTAAAAAGAAATTTTTTTTGTTTTTGATTTTGGTGGACTTTCAAGATTTATTGATGATTTCTTGAAAAGTCGTCTACTTCATTGATGAAACAATGGAAAAACTTACTTGTCTGGCTTTATTTCCTTTTGTAGTGTTTGGTTCAATAAGGAGGTGTGAGATTTGCCATTCTCCCTTTTAAGAAACGAGAGGTGAGAAGAGAGAGGTGAGAAGAGAAGTATTTATAAAGAGGAGAGGGAGGGAGGGATTTAAATAATCCTTTTGAACCCTCTCAACTTAGAAAGAAAGGTTTGGAAGCGGCCATCCACTTTGTTTTAAATAAATAAGGAAAAGGAAACACCTCCTTCACTTTTATGATTGAGAGGCAATTCATTAAAGGTGCATTTGGATGGATGGATTTTGGTTAGGATTTTGAATTTTGAACCTCATATTGAAAATTCATAAATTATAAATCCTTATTTTGGATGATATAAAAAATCTTGAATTGTAAAATTAAAATTCTTTGTTTGAATTTTAAGTAAAACTCCAAATATCAAATTTTATATTTGAATCTAAAGGCAACTTAGATGACGTTGCTAGCCGTATTTTAGTCAAAGTCAATGGTTCAGTCCTAATAAGGAGTGGTAGCCAAGTCTTGGTCAACTTGAATGCCTGCACTCGAACAATATCAATGGTCTACTCTCGACTAATAGCTACAATTCAATCTCAATTAACATCAGCGGATCGATCCTAGTCAAAGCTAACGGTCTGGTCTCGATTAGTGGCAACGGATCAGTCTTGATCAACTTCTATAGTCCAATCTTAAAAACATCGATGGACCAATCCCAATCATTGGTAGTGATCTAGTCCCAGTCGACGTTGGCAATCTAGTCTTGATTAGTGTTGATGATCTAGCCCTAATAAAAATTGATTGTATGATCTTAATCAATAGTAACAGCTCAATCTCAATCAAAGTCAGCAATCTGATCTTATAAGCATTGGTGGACCAATCTCAATTAAAGGTGGTGGTCCCATTTGGTCGACGTCGAATGTCTGTTCTTGGTAGGCACTGACAGTCCCATCCCCATCAAAGTTGACAATTTGATCCTTGTTACTGCTGTTGATTAGTCCTAGTTGAAGTCATTCATCCGATCCCTGTCAGCGCTGTTGGTTTGGTATTAGTTGGTGTTGGTGACCCAATCCTTATCATTGGTTGCAGTCCAATAGAAGTCAGCACTAGCAATCTGATCCCAATTGGAGCAAGCAATCAAGTCCCCATCATTAGCTGTAATTCAATCGCAATTAGCACCGGCACTCCAATCCAGGTTAGAGCAAAGCAGTCTGATTCTTATTGACAATTGCAGTCCAATTGCGATCAACTCTAATAGTTCAACCTTAATCATCAGCAATGATCTAGTCCTAATTAGCATTAGCAATCTAGTCCTAGATGATAGATGGGACAGGTATCAATTTCCATCAGCAATTAGTCCTATTAACGGAGGTTCGGTTACTTATAAACAATGAATTAGCATAGGATAATGACAACAATATGAGAGTTGTGGATTAATCCTAGATGACAACAACAAAATATTCTTGATTAACGGTAGCATTTTACACCAAACAATAAAGGGGGCCAGATTGTGGAGGTGAGTTGGTGATCATAAACTATTCCCAAGTGGTGACGGTAGTAGACTGACACTGGTTTATAGGTGACAGGCTGGCATCAAATGATAACAGTGAACCAACACCAGATAATAACAGTGGACCAACACTGAATGACGACAGTGGCAATAGACCAGCAATGGGTAGCAGCTTAAGGTGATTGAAAGTAAATTAAAATTCAAAATTCCTAATATATAAAAGGAATTTTAAATTACGAAGAAATTATATTTAACAATGGTCAAATCCATGAATTTTCATTGATCAAAATAATAAATTTGATACAAATTCAAATTTAAATTCAAATACATCTAAACATAACATAAAATTATCCCCTTCACTCTCCAAGCAAACAAATCCTAAAGATTTGGCGCAGGAATCAGAGTCTTGCATTTCAAACAAATGGTCATAAGAATACATGACTCTTTCCATTCCCATTGGTATTTCCGTTCAACCACACGTGGCCTTACTGTTATCACATCACACTTTCGACTTCGAAGGACCTTATCCTTGATTCTGCTGCAAAATACACGATTCCGTAGAATTTAATTGCTTTTCTTGCAATGATAGAAACAAATCTAGCATCATAATCGTCATACAATAGCGACAGTTCACAATTACAATACCAGCAATACCCCCACTGATCAATTATATTTACAGAGATAGCATGAGGCCTTGTGAGCACTGAGCACCATATATAGATATATACAGCTATGAGACATATAAACAGCATTTATGCATTGATCTTCCAGGGCGCAGCTCAGTCTCCTACCATTATGCACTGAAACCCTTGTGCAGAGAACTCCAGGGAGTGGAGGGAACACTGACGCATGCCTGTGCCGAGGCCTCCGCCATTTGCTCATTCTGTATTCCTGCGTTACAGATGTTTGCAAAAGACCTCATGTGCTTCATCCCATACTGGGACAGGGATCCACAATATGTCTCAAATGTCCTGACCTGCACCAGATTTGCAATTCCTTAAGAAATTCTCTTGAATCAAAGTGGAAACAAGATTATTTACTGCAATCAAGAACCGTAAGCTAAGCCTGTGCTCAACCATATTTATGGGAAAACAACACTGTTGGAATCCCGCTAAGGTCTAATATTGTCAATCATGCGAACAATAAATTTAAAATGAAACAAAAATTCAATAGTACCATCATTTTCAAGCAGTTCCAGTCATCAACAAGTGGTTGCCCAGCAGATCGAGGAGTGTTGAGCACTTCTGGACCCTTCTCAATGCCAAATAACAGCTTTCCAATAAGTTTCACGCTGTTGTCTAAATGCATTCTGTGAGACATAGCTTCCACAACTTGTTTCTGAGCTTCAACTTTCCTAGGAGAACCCTCAGGAGCTTTGCGGTACTGGCACAGAACATAGAATATGAAGTCACCAAGATAAAATTTGAGAAAAAGGGGAGGAGTCAGACATTAAAATCAGAGTGCTGGCAGAAAGCAGCCCTCGTTTCTTTATAGTTTCTGGCTTTCTACGTTAAGTCAGTGCCTGCGTTATGGCAACTCGCTTACATTACTTACACGCATGAACACTCATTCTACTACTACCGACATATCCAAGTGCTTTCTGATTTCTGAAGACTTTCATTTCACGCGACACGTGACCCTGACTCCGTTCTATATCACCTTATATCTGGCTAACAAATGTTCTGAATCCAAATGATTTGAAATCTGCATATCTCGTATTCAGTGCATCTGAGAGGTTTTCCCCACTAATTATATCCTCATGGACACAGTCATCCCTAATCCTCCAGTCATTTCTAATGTTCAATTCAATTAAAAGATTTTTGTGATCATTAATTATGAAATTTATCCTAACAATTTACATGCCACTCAAAGTCATGAGTTAGGTAGCAAAATTTCAATAAGGACATAATTAAGAAATTATTTATAAAATTCTCTGTTCTCATGCTAATGTGCTGTATAGCATTCCTGCACAAAAGTCAAAACCGATCAACATCCAGTCAGTTCTCTAAACCAGATATTTAATTATATTTTAGCAACTTATCCCGTTGGGATAATAACTTCTGTCTCGAGCCTCCATTTTCTAAACATGAATTTTACCTAGGCAAGTTTTGTTTCAGCAACTTCTGTTTTAAACTTCTTATGCTGCTTTAATTTAATTGTTAACATCAACTCCATTTTACTTATGTTTATCTTCACCAGGTATGCACTTCATAAATCAGAAGTTTCCACCTGCTTTGATTGGTGTTGAGGCTTATGGATTTTATTTGACATTTTTTTTGTAATGGTTCGTAGGAAGATACACTTAATGACTTATGCAAGCACTTGACAATTGTCTCTTGTTTATTAGATTAATTATATTATTCCGTCCAGGTTAAATTGTTACATACCCTGTGCATCATACAGAAAGGAATTCCTAGTTTTAATCAAATGATGTTGCAAGAACAGGATACCTTATCCCAAAAATGGATGAGATCAGCATCACGTTGGTTGACTGCTTTTGTAGGTGGCCTCAAGGAGTTTTCATCCACGAAAGTGAAATTATCATTAGCAGGGTTAGTTCCCAAATACAGTACGAGATTATTCTTGCTAATCCCTACATCCCCATATTGCATCACGTGAGAGCCGTAGACGGAATTTCCATTCATTGTCCTTCTTTTAACCTGCGCAAGCACAGTGGAATATAAAAGGCATCCATCACGCAAAGTAACACATTCAACATGTCTTAAATCCACAAAATTAAACCAGGAATTCAAAAAATACTATATATAAACTTTCCATGTTAGTAATAGAATCTTACCAGTTCATACTGTTGATGCAATGTTTCCGTTCGCAAATTGTGAATGTCACTGCTCAGGAGTTTAGAAAACCAAAATTAGCATACATGAACTTCATACTTAAATTAAATGGTGATTGCCTGAGTGTAATATATAGCCTCAAATTGGCGTGACATGATCAAGTTAAGCACTCCATAATTCTACATAGGAAATCTTTCCTAATCAAGTGTGATATTAACATAATACTTACAATTTTATTAAAAAAACACAATACTTATAGTAGAAATTACGATCCTACCTGTCTTCCATCCAGGCAACACTGTACAGGTCACCTAAGCAAGTTTCATATTCTGGGGGAGGACTAGGATACTCCCCAGGGCAGTAAGTTCCCCAACTGCTTTCATCTGCATTTGAAGCTGTTGTAGCATAAATATTCAAACCTTCAGGAAGAAGACCTTCAAAGATACTCCCAGATTCACAAGCCTCGAGGTAAAATACCTGCATCACCGTTATAAAAATACAAAGCATTAGTTCTTAGCTTGAATAAATTACGGTACAATAGTAGCAGATAATTGTTTACCAATTAACAGAAACTTACTAGGCTTTTATACCCTCCAGAAGCATGCTTCTTTTTCAAAACTTCAATAAGATCATTTGCATATAAGTAAGGACTAGTAGGCATCCCTGAAATCCAACCCCAAAAAATTAATCAAGATGTAAAAAGCATCCAGGAAAATGGTGAATAAATATATAATAATGAACTAAGATTAAAACCTAAAGTAACTACCAAGCATGATTATCATTTTAATACTCAGCAATATAAACATTACGAAATGGTGCATTAGATATGATGAATGTAACTTCTTAGCTGGTTAGAATTTATTTAAATAACGTTAGAACATTAGATACCTTAAAATCAGTTAATTTATTGCCCACAAAAAGAATATGATGTCCGGCTATGGCGCATAAAACTAAGTTACTCAATTCATCTCCCCCTCTATTGTTAAGGAATCATAGCAGCGTAATATAATTCATATTGAGCACATAAGATGCCTTAGAGATCTGAAATGAGATTGTGATATATTTCATCCTTAATATAAATACTTCAAGATACATAATTTATCTGTTGATGTTTTTGGTTGGTTTGGCATATTCAAACAAACTTGATACAGTTTTGATTGTAAGATGCCAAGAGCTACTGAACACAAGTTCCTGTTAAAAACAACCATCAGAAATGCTTAGGTTTCCTGGTTTCAAGATTTTCATCATGCTCAGGCGTAGTCAAACAACAAAACAAACAACCAGACAGACAACTATGGTCTATGGGTGGTACAATTTGTCAGAAAAAACATGAAATACAGTGCCTGTGCTATGTTGAAATGCTTATAAATAACACATGGTTCATGATTTTCATTAAAGTTTCCATGAAAAGATCCGGAAATACTAACCAAGCACTCCTGGGCCACCATGATCGGTGTAGTATATAAATATATGGTCATTGGGACCACTATCCACAACCTTCCCACTGCCACCAGTAAGAGCTGACTTATTTCCAAGTATAACAGCGAAAAAATTATTAACAGTAACATCTTCACCAGTGTAATCCTGCAACAATAAACTCCAATATGATATATGATTATAGAGTTTAATATAGACAACGAAAACTAGAATGCGAGATAACAGACCTTTGGAACTCCTTTATAAACATCACCCCCATCTGGACTGTTAATGATAATTCCAGGCCTTGGATTCTCTTCGTTGAAAGCAATATCATCGTACATAAGCACAATAATATTTTCTTCTTTCAGGCCACCTTTCCTCAGAAGTTGATACGCATGACAAACATCCGACTGATACAAATAACAAATGTTTAGGACACAATTAGTGTTAATCAAACAATAGAGCTACAAACATAATCTAGACAATCCTAAAGAGAATGGAATTTTAAATACTCTTGCGATTTTATATAGGCAACAACATGTTAAATCTTCTATTTTTCTCTCCCTGGAAATTTAATGCCAGATCGATTGTCGAAAATACCGAGAAATAATAATATTTCAGGATAACACAATTGTTTTCTGTACAAGACAGCCATCAACCTTAAGCAAACATCTTTTCGTATAGTTTTTGCATACACTCAGCAGATAACAAAATATGAACAAGGTGTATGGATTAGTTCATCGCCCATCTTGATTTTCGGGTAAAAGTCTGCTTTGAAATCAAACAATTGCTGCCGATAACCAATAGGAAGATTTAAATGATAAACCGCAGCTTAGATATGAATTTTGTTCAGCCAAAAATAAAAACAGAGAGTAGTTTCAACAGAATAATCGAGGGCAAGACGTATGACCTGGTGCCTGTAATTCCAGTAGCCGCTGGAACCAGCGATCAAAACAGCCCACTTCGTTCCCTCGGTCTCGGCGTTTCGGTTCCCCTCCTCCGTGCGACCTCGGCGGAAGAACGTCGTAACTTCCGAAGGCAACCGGATAATGCCTCCATCGAGGTCTCGACCAGCAAAAGCCGCACCGGAGAGGGATGCGACGAGGAAGACGATGAGGGAAGATGAAAAGAAATTCATGGCAAAGAATCAGGCAGAAAGGCAGAGGAAGGCAAAGGAAAGAAGGTTTGGTGAAGGCAATAAATAGTATTCTAATCTAACAACGAGAGTGCGTTGCAGGTTGGGCTTAGAGGCTGGGGTATTTTATAATTGGTCACATTTTGGGACTTTCCCGCAACTTGAATGGCCCACGTCGGCTCGCTTTCTTCGCCTGCCAGCGTAATTTGACGACGAAGTTACCGCTGATGCGTACTCCTCATCTCAGTGTTGGCTATTTGCAATGCTTGGACGTTTGAACTTTGAAATTAGTTGGGCACAGGAACGAATCACCGAATTATTGGATCGTTTTTGGTCCCACCTAATCAGCCGCCCCACATACATTTTCTGCGGAAGGAATCTTTATTTCTGCGCCCGAGAAAAATAAAAAAAAAATAATGGAATCTAAATTTGTCCACTAACATGAATCTACTTGATACACGAATTTCTTCCTTACGCAATCGACATGGACACGCCGTGGCCAATGACATAAAAATAATTTTGATGTCTTTTCGTTGATCTTGACAGGCCCGTGAGACTGGGAGCATCGCCCGCTTTCCTTGTAATTTCACAGAATGGCCTGCCCCCTCCATTTTTCCATGATTGGCTCCCTTGAGGTGTGTGTCATCTTTCACATTATTGTCATCATCCATCGTCAATAGTTGATCCAGGATAATTGGCAGCAAACTTTGTGTTATGCATATTTTTTATTCACAATAATCGTCCAAATAATCAAATATTGGCCTTACCTCTGGTTACTATTATCGACAAGTACCGACCGTGGGTGAATAGATCGTGTATTATAACGTATAAAATATCATGATACCTAAAATTAACAATGTTGATAAAATAAACTACGCGCATACTCTCGCTCTTTCATGTTACTTCATTGTTCTATTTTTCGAAAAATGTTGCTTCACTATTAATTGCGTCACAATATGGTTCGAGAAAGATCTGAAATGCCCAGAAGAAAGAGTTACCCTTCTTTTGTGTCTCTTCCTAAGAGGCCCCATGTTGATTTGAGATAACGTGAGCAACTTGCTCTTGTCCACTTGGAAAATCATGTCTCTGGCAACGACGTTGGCTTGGACCATAAGAAAATATGAAAACAACAGGATGGATTTTTTCTTTTAAAAAAATGAAACAGGGTAGACGTATCATTCAGTGGACAGGTGAAGTGGTGATAAATTGTAGATGGCAGTGTAACAAGAGGAGTGATTTTTGACTAACACCAGAAAATACATGATAGTAGGAGAAAGTTGATGCGTGCTGGAATCTCTTTGACACTGACAAGTGGCACGGAGACCAGCAAACAATCTTGCACATCAAGATTGGCCGAAGAACAACGCTTTCGGCCAGGCGTCAATATTGCTGGGCCTAGCCCAGTCAGCGTGAGAACGGAATCTTGCTTCAATAGCTATCAGACGTCCTCTGTCATCCTTTGCTTTCTCCCCAAAGAATCTTTCTTTTTCAGTTTTTTTAGGTAACCATAGCATCTCGGCCATCTCTACTCTGTTTTTTTTTTCCCCTTACCTCACTCTTTCTTTCTCCGAACACTCCCCCTCTCTTTCTTTCTTTAAAAAAAGGAAAACAAAAAAAAAAAAACCTGAGACTCTGTGCTTTACTTGCGAGTTCCGATCCATCTACACGTTGATGCAAACGATCGACATAAAACCCTTATAAGATGTTTATCTGGGTGTTGGATCGTGCATTAAATTGAATCAAATTTATATTAGAAAACCATGCATGATACATGTTACATTATTTTGAGAGGAATGTTATTTTATTTTTTGGTGATATAGTTCTGGTCGACTAATAATTTCGGAGACGTCAAAAGACCCCCTTATAGTTGACAAAATTTATTTAATGTTTCAGTAAATACACCACATTTAATTACTATAAAGGACTGGATTGAAAAAATTAACAAAAAAATAAATTAAATCACCCTTTAACTTTAACGTAAGCATAATAAAATTTATTAATACACACTACAAATATAATAATCATTATACTTTTTAAAAATCTAATGAATTATGTTTCTCAACTTTGTGAACTAAATTACTCATCTATTTTATGAATATGATTCACTAGTGAATTTGACTATATCATTTTTATCTTTATTTTTGTAATTCATTCTACTCCAATTTTTTGCTAACCAAACAGGAGTTTAGTTCTCGCTCCAGATACTTCTCCACGTATGGCGTACTATTAGTGTGCTGGGAAATAGGTTCCTGCTTGTCATCAGATTGATCTTATAGTCGAGAGATGGGCAAGCTAGTGTCACATTTACTTCAAACTAGATTTATGCCCTGTGCACGGAAATATTTTAGTCTTTGAAAATAAAAATCAATGTAAATATTAAAAAATATTTTAATATCTTTAAAGTAAAATATATTATTTTTTTCATATATTTTATCTTAATTATAAATGTTTTTTATTTTTAAAATTTATATGAATCCCTCTTAAAATCAATAGTTAAGAGATATAAAATATAATTATGCCTTATACTTTTAAGTTTTCACTTTCACCCATCTAATTATTTATTGACATTTGCTATTCTTGATACATTCTTTTAAATTTTTATTTATATTTTAAATTTATTAGTCATGCAAACTAATTTATTTAGTACTTTTTAAATTAAATACATAATTTATCTTTTAAAAAATATAAGATATTTTTAACCTAATTTCATCTCCAATAAGGTAGTTAATTGTCTTTAAAATAACACATTTTTTTATATTTACTATTTAATTGAGTGTTTTACTTTAAATAAATATAAAATAATTTATTTATTGAGGGCATTTTTTGAAGAAAAAAGTCAATAATTACCTTTAAACACTAAAAATGCTTTTTTTTTTACATCCAACTCCTAAAAAATAATCCATAAAAAATCTTATATTTTTTAATGAAAAAAATAAATTTACTGAAACAATATTTCAAACATGTACTTAAAAAAAAACTTAATAGAATAAGAGATAAATCAGTCAATATAATTTATATTTATGTTTATTTAAATTTTATAATCTTGATTGATGAGACTAAAGTGTAAGTTTTAAAAATTTAGAAGAAATCTTTATAATTCTAACAAAATAAAAGGAATGCTAGCGTATTTTACTCTATAATTTATTAATTTATACAAATTTAAATTTAAAGACTATTTTTATTTTAAATTTTGTTATGTTCATACATATTTAAAATATAAATAATAATTTATTTTATTTTATAGTGTATTACCCCATGTAAGTTAAAAGTTAAGGAACACTTCTTCTTATTCTTCTTCTTTATTTCCTAAAATATCCCCACAATCAGCAAATATGAAACTAAAATTTTAATAGGATGATACTTATAAAAAATGGCTTCTATTTTGTAATGTCTTACTCTTATACACATTAAAAAATATCATTGTTTTTAAATTTCTCACATCCTATAATTTAAAATATAATCTAGCTTATTCTTTTTGAAAATGTGTTGCCCCATGTATTATCTTAAGAAAAAAAATACATATGCTATAATGAAACGTGCAACATTTTATGTGATAATATTATTTATAAATCATAATTATAATGGTTCCAAATCAAGCAAATAATATAATCCATATTTTACTATCATCTATTAATCATACGTATAAGCACTACAAGTAATGCAATAATTATTAAGAAAAAATTAAATGTGTGATGGAAGATAAATTTATTAACATTATAAAATTAATTTGTAGTCAATAATTTTTATTGTTTAGACTCGAGGCACATAACTACATCAATATTTTTCATAGGTATTACAATCATAATCAAATTTTACACATAAATAGAATAATAGATTTTTATTCCTCATGCATTTGAGGAATATAAATAAAAATTTGTTATAGATATGCTCCCATAAATTATTTTGATTTGTTACCCTATGTTAATAATAAATACTCCCTCTGTTTAAAAATATAAGACATTTTTAATTAAATTTCATTCTAAATAAAGTGATTACTTGTCTTCAAATTAATCTCATTTTTTTATATTTATCCTATTTAATAGGGTGTTTCATCTTAAAATAAATATAAAGTAATTTATTTAATAATGACACTTTCTTTTAAAAAAAGAACAATGATTACATCTTAAAAGACTAAAAGTGTCTTATATTTTTTAACACCCAACCCTTCAAAAGATGTCTTATATTTTTTAATGGAGAGAATATATAAAAAATTTGTTGTATATCTAAACATTATTTTATTAGAAATCTTACATTTACCATCAATTTTTAGTATAAAATCCTACATGATCTCTCAAAATATAAAAATCTTATTATTCTTTATACCTTGTTTAAATTTTTAAAATTTATAAATGTTGACTACATTCATATTTTTTTAATAGTAGGTCCTGTACACCACTTTTTTAAACCACACTACTTTAATTTTTTAAAAATTAAATTTATTAAAATATTACATTCTCTATATTACCCTTAGAGCCTCAATTCATACCAAATTTAAATATTTTAACATATAAAAAATTTACAGTGAAGCTTGACTTTTAACACCCTAAGCTTTTAAGTTTTTTTATACTAGTTTAGCTATCCCAAATCATTAAAAATTATTTTATTTTATTATTTTTTTGAGTCCATATACTGTGTCTTTGAATATCTTTTTTGGCCAATTTATACATTTACTTTTTAAAAAATTTATAAAATAAATACATTTAAATAATAAAAACATAATTTTTTTGGTAATTTAAGTGATTTTTGGATAACAATTATTTTTAAATAGGGGCATTTTAGTCCAACACACATAACTCAACGGTTAATTAATGGTTAGGTTGATGAAAATAAAATCTTAAAAATAACAAAAATTTGCATTTTATAACTATCTATACTAAAAAATATCCATATAGGTTTTAAAAAATAAAAAATATATATCATTAATTAAGATAAAAAAGTAAAATATTTTTTCATTTTCAAGTATAAGTTTCATATCAACAATTTATTTTTTATAAATCCTACATGTATCTCTTTTACTCCATAGCCGACATTATTCTTTTATTTTTTTTTATTTACTATATCATATTAAAAATTTAAAAAAAGAAAAATAAAAAGTTGGATGTACCACTCAAAAAATAAAAAATAAAAATAAAAAATGCTAGATGGGTAACAATTTTTTTTAAAAAAAAAATTCAGTTGTCACAATACCATCCATCCAATGGTGACAAATCTTTAGATATAGACTTGGGATGTCTGGGTGCATTTTTGGTAAATTATTCTTTATTTATTGTTCACCAAACATCCCAAATTTATATAGATATAGACATGTAAGAGCATGGGCTTAATATTTTATTTTAAAATATGTAAAAAAAATTAAATACTCACAAGTACGAGGAGCCCATTTATTGCTCATCACCTTTTATATGATATGGACGATATAAATTTTATCTAAATTGCTCAAATTTAATATGAATTGTTAAGATTTAAAACTTTTTTTTTATCAAAATTTAAATTTATAAAATTTTTAATAAACTCATTCATTACCAATCTAGAAAGTTTATATTTAATCTGAAAGGTCCAAATTTAATATTAAATTTTCTATAATTTTTATAAAATTGACTATGAATGTTTACTTTGGACTATTCATGTTCAAAACTTTTAACTTGTAATCTAAAAAATTGAGAAGAGCTTGTCAGGATATTATCTTTATTTTTAATATTGTATGCATCAAAACAAAATTTTGTGAAAATAAAAAATTAAATCTATATCATATATAATAATTTTAATCAATTTATAAAAATTATAAAAACATAACATGAATGTGGACAATCTAAAGTTTAAATCATCTAGATTGATAGTAAATAGATTTCTTAAACATTTTGATAAATATACAATAAAATAAAAAATATTCACTCCATTAAAAAATGTGAAGCATTTTTTTAATGATTAAATATTAAAAAATGTAAGGCATTTGAGTCTTTTAAGGTATAATAATTACCTTTTTTTAAGTGCTCCCATTAAATATATCACTTTATATTTAATTCAGAGTATTTAGGGATAAATATGAAAGATAAGGTTAGTTTGAAAATAAATAACTTGTAACATCCCAATTTAAATTTTAATAGTTAATTTGGATTAATAGAAATTTGAAAAAAAAATATTTAAAGGTAAGTAAATTAGTAAGAAATGATTATTAAATCTAACTTAGGATATAATTATAAATTAAAATTTTTTTAAAAAATTGTTATTATTATTATTAGGAAAGAAGAAAGAGAAATATAATAGAAAGAGAGATTAAGAAATGTAATATATATATATATATATATATATAAATATATGAAGGGTGGGGAGCGAATTTTTCATGGCTGTGTATACGGTGTAGGTGTAGGTACAAAAAAAAACAAAAAGAAAATAAAAATGTACGAGAGAGAGGAAGAGAGGGAGATTAAAAAAAAGAAAAAAAGAAAAGGAGGAGGAGGAGCGGTGGCTTTCAGAGCATGATTATGTATAAAATAATAAAAAAAAAGAGAGAGAAGAAGAGAGGGGAAAGAAAAAATAATAAAAAAATATGGGACCCACTAAATTTTTTTTATAAAAACCCACCTCCTTCCTTCTTTCTTCACTTCTTTGTTTCTTCATTCTTTCTTGTGTGTGAGCTGAGGCAGAGAGAGCGTCTGTGAGCCAAGTTCGCCGGTTCTGGGTTTTAAGGTAAGAGTTTTTAATAGGATATTTAGAGTGTGGTTTTAAGCTTTTCAAGACTAAGTGAGTGTTTTAAAAAATTTTCTTAGCCATCCTTTCTCTTTGGTTTCTAATTTTGTGGTGGTAGAAAATTTAGGATCTGAAAAAGGGATGAATTTATATTGAATAAATATGGTTTATGAGGTTATTAGTAGTATAATAAATGTTTTAGAGTATAAATCTGTTGATAATCTTTGAATTTGTGGCTTATGGATCAAATTCTAAACTAAATCTAAAAATATATGTTGATTTATTGAAGTTTAGATGATTATTTGGGATGAGAAATGAATTATTATGGCTATAGAATTATGATTCTAAACTAGAGACTCAATTTTTAATTTTTGGATATTTTATGTGTGAATTTATGAAATAAAAAGAAAATTTTGATAATAAAAATTAATTTAGAAGTTGATTTTTAGATTATTAATGTTTATTGATGACTAAAAGAGGAGTTAAAAATTTTACTTAATAGTATTAATTCTAGATTTGTATTAAGATTGAGATTAGAAATTATGTTATATTTTTAATTATATTATTAGAATTATTTTATTAATTTCAATAATTGAAACTAATATTTATAAATAATATGTTATTTGTAGATTGTATTATTGGTGAGGATTGTGGTGGGAGAGAAATTATAAGGAATAATTTATTAAAAAAGCCACGAGGTAACCATGCTTTTAATTTGTGATTAGTATTACTTCATGTTAATTGGGTGATTATTGAGAAATTATGAATTTTGTAATATTGTATAATTGTGCAATATTATTATGAATTTGTTTGATTATTGTGGGAGGTGTTGGGAGACTTGCTATTATTATTGTATTTATGTGCCACGTGGTACGCCCCTATTGGAGCTCAATAGGTGGCTTGTAAGGGCTCGAGCTAATCTACTTTTGGCAGAGTAATTTAGCACTGAGTGAGGGCTACGGCTCGAGGTTAATGGAGGGATATAAGGATGGTTGTTTGTGTGTATTGTAATATTTCTTATATTTTGTTGGAATTATATTATTTTTGACTCCCACTTAATAAGCACACATTTAACTGTTTGTATATACTATCATAAATTGACTTTGGTTACTAGGACTTTTGAGTCTCATTATGTGATTAACAATTTTCAGGAGAAGAGCCACGAGTGACACGTGGAGGAGTCCTAGAGGCTTAGTGGCATAGATCCACTGTCTCTTTTGAGTATTTGATTTATAATTTATAATATTTTATATTACCAATATTAAGACTTTTTGTTTATTGACAATTATATGAATATATAAATGTAATCATGCCTTTCAAACTATATCTATTTTTGGTACACTTTGGATGACTGTAATTTTAATATTTGGTTTACTTTGAATTGGTTAAAATGGCATGATTGTGAGGCCAAATCATTGGCTTGTTTTAAAAATTGACTAAGTTATTTATTTTACTTGTTGGGAGTATAAGGATGGACAAATGTAATTTAGTATACTTGTTGGGAGTATAAGAATAGACAAATGTGATTTAGCCCAATGGCATGTGAGAGGTAAAAATTTAGCTGAAATGTTGTATTGTGCGAATTGAAGCCAATTATAAAATATTTTTATATTAAAATTATTGATATAAAATGTGTTGGGTGGCTGTAATCCAACTATGATTGAGTTAAATTATTTAAAAAAATTTAGTGTGTTACAAATCTACTTTATTAGGGTGAAATTCAATTAAAAATATTTTATATTTTAAAATAAAAGGAGTATCAATTTTGTGCTTTTGCAATTTTGAAATAAATTTTACGCCAACCCCTCTCTCTAGTATGGGATCAATCTAATGAAAAATACTTCCTTCAATTTTTTTTATTGGTCACATTTTAAAAAGTTTTCTTGATTCTTTATAGGAGTAACTTTCTCTTATTTTTTTTAAATAACCTTTGATATACAATTTCAAAAATACATTAATTATAAAAAGAAGTATTCTGTCTCAATTTTTAAGAAGGCGACCCATGTGTCTAACTACACTTTTTAAATTTCAATGACAAAATTGAAAATTAATTTATTTTTAAAATAATTTTATTATTCTAACTAACCTATCTTAATTTCGGTGAATTGTTTAGAAGAAATTTGTAAAAGAGACAAGAGGGAGGGAGTATGAACCCACTTCCCAGCTTCTACATACTATCTATCAAAGGGAAGCAAACTGTCTCCAATCTGAGGGAAGCAATTATGATGTATTATTTTCATTAAAAAATGTAACACAGTTTTGAAGGATTGTATGTTAAAAAAATATAAAATATTTTTAATATTTTAAAATATAATTATTAAAAAAGTATCTCTATTAAATAATTATTTATATTTATTTTATAGTAAAACACCTTATTATATAGGGATAAATATAAAAAATAGTGTTAATTTAAAATAAACAAGTACTTTATTAAGAATAAGTTTTGATTATAAATGACTTACATTTCGATTGGGGAGAGTTACTCTTGCATGTTTTTTTCCACATACCAGAATATTTTTAGGTTAAGTCATATGATTGTTATTTCATCTGTTAATACATTACATCATCATCAACACCATCATAAAAGATAGTATTAATTTTATTATAAAACAGTACATATCATGCAAAAATTTAAAAATAGCTATATTTCAGCTGGTTAAGAAATAATAAGATTTGTTAAAAATTATGCATTATATATATTCACAAATTTTATAAATTTTAAAATTTAACTGAATTTATATTTTTTTATGACCATTAAACAAAGGAAGAATGATAGAAAGGTTTTAAAAAGACTAATTAATTTAAGTTAGGTCTTAAGTATCAAACTCTAGATATTTGCAACTCAATCTCTTAATTTTTATAATTTTATCGTAATAAATTTATAATTTATATTTTAAATTTTAATAGAATTTTTTTATTCTTCAATTATATTAAAATTTTAAAAATAAATTATAAATTTATTGCAGTTACAAAACTAAAAAATTAAATTATAATTTTTTAAAATTTAATACTTAAAATTTAACTTAAATTAATTAATTTTTTTTAAAAGTTCTTTGCCATCTGCTGTCGTTTAGGTCCAAAGTTAAACGCACTGCATCTCTGTTGTCGCGTGGTAGGCTAGCAACCAAAAGAAGAGGAGTCTGGAAAGACACCGCGTTTGCCTATTTGCCCTCTGGCAGCTTCGCATCTCACTCGCCTCACTGAAATTCGCGGAGTGAAGCTAAAAATGGCGTGCTTACATGACCACAGCTGTGAAGATCATAATTGTTCCTCTGATTGGTCCCTCTACAAACACATAGATCTTTCCAAGGTTTGTTTCCACCGTCTCTGTTCGCCCGTACACTCCATTGTCTTCTAATGATTCTACGGTGACAATTCGCTGCAACCAAATTCGATATTCAATCCTGGACAAACAATCGATACTCCATGGATTTTCCAAATGTTAACTAGACATCACCAGTGAATACTTTTATAAATTAAGTGCTAGGAATTATGACCTTTTTAGCTCTGGAGTCCTAATGTTCGCAATATATAATATAAAGAGGATGTTTGAGAATTCATAAACATTTTATCTTAGACAGAAGTGCTTGTCCATTGTGCATGATGTTTCTGCCAGGCGAACATCGCTTTCTGGGTGGGGTAGGTTTTTTTTTTTTTTTTTTTGGTGGGGGTGGGTTTGTGCAGGGGGATGGTACTCGATCAATCAAACTTCAGGCCCCGTCTATGATCGCTGTGTTTATACTCCTCTGACAAATTTGATTAAATTGTGGCATGGAAAGTAATTGACGAATGTCACATGGAGGATTTTCCCCCTTGCTTGATACTTTATCTAGAGAAGATAGCAGAATTTCAATTTTTGAATCGCCATAAAATCTACAACCGTATGCACTATTATTAAGTTATGATCATATTCAGGCCTCATCTCGTACGCTACAAGGAAAACATGTCTAGTTCGCGTAATATTTGTAAGGGGCAGTTTGGATGATATTGAATGTTTTAGGAGGAGGGTTTTTAATAAGGAGTGCCTTTTAAAAGAAGATTCGACTCTTACTTCTACTGTGATATGTTGAAGTTTATTTTTAATATTTCTTTAATTAATCCAACTGCTGAGGCTCTGGAGCTTGTTTGGAAATTTCACTGGGGGCTAGGGTTTTAAAATTGGCTTCAATTGTGAGGCTAAGAGTGACTTATGTCTCAAGCCTGTCACAAGCCTTTCCAAGTCACATGCCAGCCAGTACTGTTCTTGTGAAATTGCATGTAGTGTATCATAGCGAGCCATCCTAACAAATCCTCTTAATAAATCCATTGTTCAATGCCAAACTCGAGGATGGCCTGTATAACATCTCGTTAGCGCAATGCTTTACTTTATAGCCCTGTAGTTTTGGTCCCTTTATTTTATTAATTCCTTATTCCTCTGGATATTGATTCGCAGATCTGGACTTGTCTTTCAATTTACAGCAAAATGCCATATTTTTTTCTCTTTTGTCAAAAATATCAATTTTCCCTATATTTCTGGATTTGGCTCAATGGTACCAGCAACATATGATAAATTCCTTGTAAGGAAATTTACATGTATACCCACTTGCATAAAAATCTATATTTTACCAGCATGATTTTTTTGATTTCTTTTCACAATTACTAAGCTAAATTGAAGCTCTTCCTCCCTCTCCCTCTCTGTTGATCTCTGTCATCATCTCATATATGTAATCTGTTTCTCAGCAGTTGGGACTATAGTGCATATTGTACAGTTTTGTATTCTTGCCTTCTTGGCAATGAATAATGACGCCAGCTCTCATAAATTGACAAACACAAATTCTAAACTGTTAATTTATCTTTCTTCAATTGACATGTCTCAAGAATCAGCAATGCTCAACGTACTTCTCCTGCTTGAACTTTTTCCCCCAGGTATCTGCTCTAAATGAGGCAACTCCAGGAAGTGTTAAGTCAGTTTTTAAAGCTTGGGAACAGCGTTTAGTTTCTTCTGGGGTAATTCTTCATTCCACTTAATTCGGTTTTAATAAGTTAACTGACCTGATTCCCCTTTTTCACAGCTTAATTTCTTTTTGTACATGATACATTTATTTCTCCCCATGCATGCTAATCTTTACTATATGATGTGTCTTTTCTGGTCCTCCTGGATGTGACAGGATTACTTAGAAAGCAATGAAGGTGACCCTGAGTTACTTGTTTTCATTCCGTAAGTTGTTATTTCTAAGTTTTTTATCCTGACAATGTGGTCTTCCATCTTGAAGTTTGAACTTACAGTCTATTCCAGTATACAGAAAGTGTTCCTTTTCTATTTGTGCTAACCAACTGCTCTTCTTTATTGCTGGTAGCACAGAGATTGATTGAGATACTTATTGCATCTGAATCTGACTCTCATAAAGAATGGACCAAGGAAATGATTGAGCTAGGTTGTTTGCAGTGTCATATAATGTAAATTGATTGTCTCTGACAAGTTCAATATGTGTAGCCTACTCAAGCCTTTTTAAGATATTAAGTCTTAAACATGAAGCTACACCAGCATGGTGTAATGATTCTTTTTATATGAAAACTCTGAACTTTAATATTGATATACTCCATTTAACATGAATATAGCAAATTATCTTTGTTGGAACAAAAACTACATCAAATGATTTTGTTGACATATTCATTTTTGTTAATTTTTTTTCCCTTTCTTGAATACATCTACCATGGCCCTTAAATCAGTGGTGGCTGTGCGTATTTTATGTTTAAATAACTTTGTTGTCCAATTTTCAATCTTTTAAACGTAAAAATTTTGGTTCTATAAGTTCTTACAAAACCTTTTGTGTGTCTGGGTGAAATAGGTTTACTTCTGATGTCAAGATCAAGAGTATATGCATAATTGGTGGAGCTGATGGCACAAGCCCTTCCAAGATGAGAGCGTAAGTGCTTATCCTAATCAGATTATTCTATTTGATACATTCTTCATTCCTCTTGTTCAGATTGTGAAATTTGTTTAGATTTTTTGGAATTTGATTGTGTCAAGTGGTTTCTACTTGTTTTATATCTCCCCCTTATCTTTCTCTCCCATCCTGTTATTTCATGTTCTGTGTTGTTTATTGCACATTTTCGTCTTGTATTATGGTAGAATCCCTTGCATTTTCAATTGGATTGTCAAAACAAATGCATCTAAACCTTTGGAAGACGAATGAGAGGCTAAGCAGCAGGAAAAGAGTCCCAAATTTTTTTAACTACTTGAACTCTCTTGTTATTATACCCACAAAGAGTAAGATAACCAAGTAACCTCCAGCTACTTACTGACAGGCAATGCAATCGAGTACTTGGACCATCATGGCCTTTTCAACTTTTTTGGCTGCCATGCTAATAATGGTCAATACCGCCTGTTTTAACATCTTTTGGGAATAATATAACATAGAGTTCACATAAGACCTGTCTGAAAAGTCACAAGCTCAATTCAATGTTGAAAATGGAAGTTTCAGCGTTAAAATGATTTTCCAGTATTTGTTGTGTTCCTTAACACCCCCCCCCCAAAAAAAAAAAAGAAAAAAAGAATTTAAGTGAAATGATCAAAACATTCAACTTAAAGGAAGTAGCTAAATGCACTATACAGAAACCCGTTCCATGCTCAAAATTTTAGGTTGCATTTGTTTACTGCAATAGCCTTGATATATTTTATTAAATGCTCATAGTTTACTTTAATACAATTTCAGCATGTAGAATGAACATTATTTCAAGTAATACAAATGCTGTGCTTAATTTTTCATCGGAAGTTCAGTTTCTACTTTCAATTCTGATTTCTCTCTGCCCCACTTCCCCTTCAACATTTACGCTAAACACGCTCACACTCTTCATTAAATATATCTTCTCATTAATTTATCCAAAGGCTGAACGCTTCAGTTCAACTTGAATAGGTTCATCAACCGAGAGGGTATCGACTTTTCAGATGCGCAAAGCATACAAGTCGTTCAGGTATATCTCATTAATGGTTGCTTATGATTAATTGTCAATTAGACCGAGTAACTAATGATAATTTCATTTTTGTTTCTTTAAGGAATGGGATTTGGTTGAGAATACGCAGGGTGTATTGGAATACCAGACAAGGTAATCGTTACCCTTCTTCTTCTTCTTCTTCTTCTTCTTCTTGTGGTGTGTTGTGGGGGGGGGGGTGGATTACATTGTTCTTGTTTACAAACATCCATACAGAAAAACTTGTAGAATATACTAAATGAAAGTGATGCATGTATGCAATATCTAACATTTTATTGTATCAATAATTACTGAACTTGTGCTTTGCGCCCTTTGAGTTTTCTCGTGTCATCGCAATAATGTATTTGTTCTTTTTAGTAGATATTCTAAGTTCCAGAGTGTGGCAAATATTACGTTGCACTTTCCTGACAATTTTGGTGGCGACACAAGTCAAATACAATATATTGGCTTCAAAGGCGAAGCCACCCAGGTACATCTGGCAACTAATTAGAAGGTTTTAAGATTGTTTATATTCTATCACGAAATTAACTTTATTTGTTTGTTGGGCAGTTAAAAAGGGACGTTGTTGCCACTATTGTTTATGAGCTCATGCCTAATCCTTCTGATCACAAGTGAGTATTTATTAGCTTCTGCTATTTATGTTTTTAATCCTGAAAAAATTCAGTTGCAAGATCTGGTAGTGGATTCTGATTTGATAGAGACAGTAATTTGGGATCGCTTATGCGTTTCATCGAATACAGTTCTTAGTCAAATATCATAATGTTTCTTGGCTCAGAATCTGATGTTTTTCTTTCGTAGGACGCGAGCTGAAGGGGGTGGCGGTCTCTCTCACATCGAATGAAAGGAACTGTGTTATTTTCTAACTGGATAGCCATCACAACCCAGTATCTCTGTCTTCGTTCTCGCATCCAAGGTCCAAGAACAGTAACCGGATAATGCCGTCCTATGCAATAAAGGATCTTTTTTCTTTTTTTGCCCTTGTAAATGGCAGAAGGTATTCTGTGTTCACTATTCAGCGCTCCGGTCCATCCAATCGCATGTGGACATGATAATCAGAATCAGCACCGTTGTAATTGAAGTATCTGACCGTATTCTATACTGGTTTAGAAGAGTTTCCCAGGCCCTATCCTAATTCATAAATGATAATTCGGGGAAGTACCTATCTCGCATTAAAGTAAGAATATGAAATCGTCGGGAAAACAGCTTGGATATTATAACTTAGACTTTTTAATTTTTTTTTCCATTTTTATCATAATAGCGCCTCTAAAGCACTGATGCGCTAAAATGGGTGTTGTGTATATCCGACATGGACACGTGTCCTACATGCGCATGCGGTGTGGCGGACGAGGGGCTGCTGCTGGCGATCACAAGCAGATATAGGTAAGACGTGGAACACCGCGTTTTGGGCCTTTTTTCTCCAGAATAGACGGCCTGCTTCACGAGATGTCGACCAATCCCTTTCATTCCCACATCTCTGGCCTAACTCGTGTTGCTCTGTCTCTGACCGAGTGATCCTCCATTGTCGTCGACCGCCGTCCTTCCCTCCTCCGTTGTCGAGCTCAAGCAGTGTAATATTGTTCTCTGTTGTTCTGTCTCCTTGAGCCACTGTTGCTTTGTCACTCTCTGTGCCCGCTTTAGTCACTATTTCGGTGTCTTCCTTAGTCACTGCATTGCTCTCTGTCTCTCCTCCTCAGTCGAGACTCAGCAAGGTAATATTCTTGAGGGTGGTTGCTGTTCTTTGTTATTATGTGGACAGAACTGATTGGAGAGCAAATAAAAAGAAGTATGGTTTTCCCTTTCATCCATTGACTTTAATTTCGTCCTCTTTCATAATCCTATTTAAAAAAAGTTCGGTTTCCTTCTGCTGTACGCATTTTGTAGTTTTTGCTCTAATTTTCCTTTCTTTTATTTCTTGTCTGCTAGTACATTGGTTGATGGATACTGGATAATTTTTGTAGTTACAATTATGGCAAAGCTTGAATTTAGGTAATTCTTATTTGTTTGTTTCAAAATTTTATTAGCTCTCCTTAGATTAAAATGTGCAAAAAATTGTTTATAATTTTTCAGTATTTATTAATTCAAGTTGATCATTATTTTTTGTCGTATTTGATTATTTAATTATTTATATATGTGTATGTAAATATTTAATATTTAATTATTTATATAACGGTATGCTTGTCCTAAAATTTTTTAAAATTGTTGTATCTGCATATCATGCTATATTGGATCTACTCGTATCATATCGGTGTTTCATAGAATAGGGCTGTATTCAGAGGAAAATATCTCGTAATAGCCACAGTTATTTTATTTTGGAATTGCATTTTGTTATCATTCTATAGCTTTTAGCAACGGATGTTTTATTTAAAAATTATTTGATTAATTTTCTTCTAAATGCCCTGCGGCGGGAGCACGTGTGCTTTCGGCAAAATGGAATTGGGTGCAATTTTCTTTAGGACGTAATTGATGCGATCGTGAATGGTTCATATGTGATGACTTTTCATAAAGGGGCAGAATCGGATTCAACTTTGTACTGGGCTTATCCGTTTGTGAAATGGACGTCCGCAACTATTGTGGCCTGTGTCATAAAATTAGTAAAAATGACAACTAAGGATTCATGAGACCATTTATTAAAATTAAGAAATTTGAATTATTAAAATTTTAATAATAAATTATTATCTCACTTGAAATTAAAAACATACTGGTTTACAAAACTGTCTTAGTGTATTAAAATTATTATTATGGGTTAGGACTATTATTAATTTTAATTAAAAAAATTAGGATCCACACTTGAAAATAAGATTAAAAATAGTTTTAACCCATAATATTTGGAATCTTAATTTTTTAATTAAGATTAAAAATAATTTTAACCCATAATATTTATTTTAGTAGCTTTTTTTCTTGATTTTTTTAAATAGTTTACCTATATATTAAAAGTTATAAAAATTTATAAATGATTGGCTTTATAAACTATCACATATTCATAAGTGTCTTTTAAAAAATTTAAAAATGAATTTTAATTTCACAATGAGAAACAACCCATTTTGTTTTTAGTTTTCTCAACTAAAATTAATAATTATCCCACTTTATTGTAATAATTTTAATAATGTCTTTTTTTTATTTTTCAAGTGAGGTTAATTTTATAAATTTATATATATTTTTAATTATAAATAAGAACTATAATTTATTATTGAAATTTTAATAATTTAGGATCTTAATTAATTAATCCTTAAGTGTCATTTTCCATAGAATTATACCAATTTAAAAAAAAAATCACTTTTTTAATGCAACAATTACGAAATGCGCTCGCCGCTCTGCCTCTATTTTCTGCTTTTGGAGTTTGAACTGACTTTGCTGAGTTGCTCCCTCGCTCTGCTTTGTGCTTACTCTTTGCCTGAAGCAGTATTCTAGGTGCGTGCTAGCTGCTCATTGGCTTTTCCGGAGGTAAGTTATTAGGTCCGCCTTTTTGGGCAAAGCAAGCTGCTTTTCTCATCTCCTTTTGTCTCCAAAACTGTTCTTGTTGTCTTCTCCCTTCGCTGCCCACTTCGCCTTGTTGTCTTTTCTTTAGGTGACTCCTATTTACCTCGCTATGTTGGGTAAAGGGGTAACATGAAAGAAATTAATGTTTGCTCTGTTGTTATTCTTTATCAATGTTGTTGATGGTTGTTATTTTTTATCCAGTGATTTTAGATGATAGTTCAACGAACAATGTGTGTGTTGAGCTTCATTTTATTGTCCTCATGATTTTTTGTTTGGTGGGAGGGAGAAGTATTGTTGAATATTCAAGGATGCATTTTAGTTAAACTACTTGTTTTATTGCTGTTTAGCGTTCGTGAAAGCGGCGTTGCTAGTGTCGTTGTATGAATTCTGGAGAAACTGTTTATTACTAGATTGATATTTGCTATTCTTTTCAGCTAGATTATGAAAATAACGATGAAATAACTGCTCTAACGTTAGAGAATTTCATGAAATTTGCGTCTATATTCAGATGCCGACGTCCCTAAATAATTTACCCCGAACATTTTCATATGAAAAAATGTTCTGAATTCTTAAAATAACTTGAGAGTAGGAAATATGTTTGTCCAAAATATCTTTCGCTAGTGAGAGAGAAAGATGTTGCAGTTATAACGTGCTATAGTGTGGCATTGCCATCTCAACTCTGTTGTACAATGTATCATGATCCAGGTTGGACTCTTCATTATAGAATCGTAGGCGAAGATGCAAGTCTGTGGTAGAGTTGTAATGAAGGGTTTGTGGCAACAATCTGCTGGGAGCAAGGTGCTGAATTTTCTTACTAATGGGTGTGACAGTTATGGCTTTATGCCTCAAGTAAAGCTCGATAATGTAAAGGCTTGTAAGGCGTCTAATGTTAAAGGATGTCTGGTCGGTGGGAGCCCATCTGCTCTCTCAGTCTCTATGACTAAAATTGGAGGTAACTACACCGTTTAATTGATAGGATTTCATGGCACTGGCTAGTATTTACTTATAAGTTATAAAGACCAAACACGCTAAGGCTTAGACATTTCAATGCCTTAAGTGGTTGTATATTCTTTCCTCTTGTTTAGTGTTCAAGGTATTTGGTTTGCTGAATACTTCAGACCAATAAACGCCAATATGCTAATATTAATTTTTTGGCTGAAAGGATTTTTTGGTGTATGGGGTCACATGGTATTTCCAGGTGATGGGAGCAGCTTCCTGGATTATGGCTTGAGTGAAGCTGATCCTGATGTTTATGCTATTATTGGCAAGGAAAAAAACCGACAGTATAAAAGCCTAGAGCTTATTGCTTCTGAAAATTTTACATCAAGGGCAGTGACGGAAGCAGTTGGCTCATGCCTCACGAACAAGTATTCAGAAGGACTACCTGGCAAAAGGTAAATTTTCTTCCTTTTCTTTTCCCCTACTTAGTAGATGAATGTTTCGCTAAATGCCACCTCCCCCTTTTACCCCTATAATTACAATGATTGGCGTCTTTTTATATAAGGTAGTACGGTGGAAACGAGTACATTGATGAGCTTGAAATACTATGTCAACAGAGGGCGTTGGCTGCATTTCACTTGGATGGGACTAAGTGGGTGTAAACGTTCAACCCTTATCTGGCTCTCCTGCTAATTTTGAGGTTTACACTGCAATTCTTAAGCCGCATGATCGAATAATGGTAAACAATTTTCGCTCGTGATTTTTGCTGTTCCAGAATTGTGTTTCTGTCATGAGGTAGTGCTGATGCAAAATGAAAATTTTTTCAGGGTTTGGACTTGCCCCATGGGGGACATTTATCTCATGGATTCATGACTCCTAAAAGGTTGCTATCAGGCACATCAATCTATTTTGAATCTATGCCTTATCGACTTGATGAATTGACAGGTGCTTACATTTTTGTTATTAAATTAAATTTGTAGAAAATATATTGGATAATCTGCAGGAAGCTTATTAACTCACTTTTGAATTGTAAACAGGCCTCATTGACTATGATACGCTTGAGAAAACCGCTAATCTCTTTCGACCAAAGCTCATCATTGCTGGTGCTAGTGCTTATCCTCGAGACATTGACTATCCACGGATGAGAAAAGTAAGTCTTATTTGTACGTATTTTCTAGAATATTTTGTTTGTGATTGAATTTCTCTTTTTCTTATATGGGATTTTTCTTTTCTTAGCAAAAAGCTAATTATATCTGATATGCATGGGAAGATTGCTGATGAAGTGGGTGCTTTTCTTTTGATGGACATGGCTCATATTAGTGGACAACCACAACTCACAAGGTTTACCTCGGGACATTCCCAATATTGTGCTTAAATTTTTGGTTCAAAAGAGAAGGGAGAAAAATTTACTTGCTTTTTTCTAACAACGAACCCACATTTTATATTTAAGTATTTACTCTTCTAAGTTGGGGTCTGTACCCGTGACTTGATGCTATTGAATTACTTTTGTGCAGTCTCTAAGAGGTCCAAGAGGTGGTGTGATATTCTTTAAAAAAGATACTGTTCATGGTGTTTATCTACAATCTGCCATTAACAATGCTGTTTTTCCAGGCCTGCAGGTTAGATATTGGTTCTGCTTGGGTCACTTTTTACTATTCTTGTTGGGAAGATGTTGTCTAGTATCTTGTGTGGCTACTCAGATGTAAATGTCTTTACCTTCCTCGTTTGGTATGGTAATACAATCTAAAATGATCTTTATTCAGGGTGGTCCTCATAATCACACAATCGGAGGACTGGCAGTTTGTCTGAAGTATGCCCAAACCCCAGAATTTAAGGTTTGTCAAAACCAGGTATTTCTCCTTTCATCTTTGATGCATATCTTGATATGGCTACAAATTTGAAGTGCACTATGCAAATCCGATCTTGCACGTGGTCTCTAACTGTCGAGCTCTAGCTAATAGATTAATTGAACATGGCTACAAATTGGTCTCTGGTGGAAGTGATAATCACCTGGCTCTTGTTGATCTGAGGCCATCTGTAAGCATGTTGTTCTTTTATGTCAAATTTCCTTCCTTTTAATGAAGAGTCAACATGATTGTGGATATCGATTGTATAATTCTTTATGAACTTAACATTACATAATGCTGTGTCTATATGTATTAAGGTTGTGTACCCCTTCCTTGTACTTCATTTAATATCTTAATAACCAGAATCGCATCCCCAGGGTATTGATGGTGCTCGGGTGGAGAAAATTCTTGACATGGCCTCTATAACTCTCAACAAAAATTCGGTGCCTGGTGAGTCTCAGGCAAATTGTCTTCTCTATCGTTTAAATATTTATTCTGTTTTTACTTGCTCATTCATGCAAATCATGGCAGGTGATAGAAGTGCCCTGGTTCCTGGAGGCATTCGCATTGGATCGCCTGCAATGACAAGAAGAGGACTGGGGGGGGGGGGGGAGTTCGTTCTGGTAGCAGACTTCATTCATGGGGGCGTACAAATTACACTTGAGGCTAAACATTTGGCCTCAGGAACAAGGCTCCAAGACTTTGAGGTTTGTATCATCCCCTGAATTTCCGTTGAAAGACCAGATTTCAGATCTGCGTAAAAAAGTCGAAGCTCTTGCTGCACAGTACCCAATTCCTGGAGTCTAAGTGGTGTATTGAGTGTTGAGTGTTAATAACTAGGAAGGTGTTGAAATTTTTTGGGGGAAAATGATATATTTACATGTTAGTATACTAATAAAGTATTTTCCTTGATCAAACGGGGTTGACGCTCAAGCAGGCCAAAATGTCACTTGGTTCCAATTTTACATTGACAGTAACATACAGAACTGTGTTTGGAACTGGATGTTTGACAATTCTGACTAAGCATTAGTGCAGATCATTCTCGAATAATGACATGGCAATCTTGATAGTTAATTACCTCCGATACCGTATATATTGAACTAATGAATTGAGTTATGATTAAAAAAATTATTTTGATAGATTTTCAGATTGAAAAAAAAATCATTATCAAACAAACAATTATTGAAGATTTGGACCTACGTTTAGCGACTCTATGTCTCTATCAGATGAGACGAACCGATGACAATAGGGGAGCAGCATGCCAAGTTTCAGCATGGGAACATCAAACTAGGTAATTCAGGTGAGGTTTTGGATTGAATTTAAAATATCTAAACATATATATATATATATAAAAGAGGTCACTATAGTCAAGTTCGATTCTAACTTCAAACTTACTGGATTGACCAAATACTCAAATTGTAAAATATTATATTATTTTATTATATTTTTCAGTCAAGTTCAAATTTTGCCTTAAAAAAAGCTTTTTCAATGTTTATGTTATTTTGATTTTATTTTATTAATAATAAAAAAATTTGAGAATTTAAGTTAAGCTCATTCAAGTTTGAGTTTAACCTATATTTCTTTGAGTTTATTCAAATAACTCGAATAAGTTTAAAGTAAAAAAATTTTTATAAACTCTCCACCAATGTTAAAATTGAGTTTATTTAGATTGATCCTCCAAGTTTGACCGGAATTAGTAACTTTGAGTAAAGCTTGTACAAAGACTGACGAAACAGTCTAGTGAATGAGGATGGGGCTCATGGCGTTTCATGAAATTAGAGCACGGCATATGATTACTGCCTAGGACCTAATTCTTGGTTGTCCAAAACCTGTAATTAGAGTTGGTCTGATCATACCACAGTTGCTATAAGGACCTAATTGCGATTTCCAGTTATCGTTTTCCTAATTGAAGGGCGATCTAGGTAAATTGAGCTGCAATCTATTATTTGTAGCTATATTTTCGTTTGAGAGATATGTTGTCCTAATGAAATCAGTCACTCCCTTGATTCTTCATACAAGTCCTTCTAAGATAGTGCTTGAATTAATGAATTCGAACTTGAATTTCAAATTTTAAATTTAATATTTCAAATTTATGTATTTAAAATATTTTATTTGAGTATAAAAAATTTTAAACGACACATAGATCAATTGAAAGTCAAAACAAAAATAAAAAATTAAAAAACACAAGCTTATTTTTATCTTTTAATGGATAAAAGATGAAACAAAATACAAGTTTCAAAAGTATCGATACTAAAAATGTGAAGAGAATAAAATATCTGCATGATTAAAATTTTAAATAATTAGAATTTACAAAAAATTATAATTTGAAATAAATTTAAATTTAAATACGTAAACTTCTATATATTGAATTTTGATTAAAATTGAAATCCAAATTACTGCAAATTCAAAAATATCATAAAGGATTTTAACAAAACGATTATATTCTTGAACCCATATGCTAAAATCTTGAACAAGACTTTCTGGCAAAATAAATGGAACAAGACTAACAATCAAGTAAAATGCCGTGATCACAATGCACTAGAAATTGATGCTGGCATGTACAGGAGGTTGAAATTGAGACAACGCACTAGAAAGTGACAACATGTTACAATTTCCTCTTATTTTAATCACTGGCATATATTTGGCATCCCTAACGTTACAGGCAAACCAGGGAAATATCTCGAGAAAGTAATTAAGCAAGCAACAAAACCTGAGTGCTCAGCCACATGCTAAAATAAGAGTAATTCAGTTATAGGAGGAGGCGGAGGCGGCGGCGAAGGTAGTTCAAAATATTCAAGTCTGAACAAAATGCCCATCATCGAGTACAGAATACGAAATATGAATTCCTAATAACCCATACAAAACATGTAGACCGTCAGAGCGTCAATGCTTCCACCTAAACACTACAAACCTATATAGTTACTAGTACAATAAAGAACAATAAAAGCCCATTAAGTCGAAAAATTCAAGATCAACACGCTACTACATCAACTTTGAGGCGATGCTTTGGTGACACCACTTTGCTGAGCAGCCTGTGCCGGAGTAGCATCAGCAGAATATACTGGAGGTTGAGTGTAACCAGAACCATAAGAACCACTGTTGTACGATGGAGGTGCCTGACCATAACCAGGCTGACCGCCAGGAGGAGCACCGTATGGTGGGGGCCCATAACCTGGTTGCACTGCAGAACCATATGGCGGTGGGGCTCTTTGTTGACCAGATTCTGATTGAGCATAGCCAGAAGGGGGCTGTGCCGGAGGATACCCTGGTTGCAATTGGCCAGATTGACCATAGCCTCCTGCTGTGCTAGGTGATTGTGTGGACTGCCCGTATACAGGAGTGCCACTAGGCTTTTGAGGGGGAGGGGGCCCATAACCAGCTGCATAACCAGACTGTGCTTGGGGTTGACTGCCATAAGCTGCTTGTGAAGTTGGAGGCATCCCATAACCTGGCTGTGCAGCTCCTTGAGCTGGATAGGTAGTTGGGTTTGGGCTCGGCTGCTGGTTTGAACCATAACCTTGCTGGGACATTGAAGTTGGGACAGCTGGAGGAGGCTGGGTTGAGTCACCTTGAGACCCATAACTGGGGGTGTGGCCCTCCTGTGTTGGGTTGCTGCCACTGCCATAGTTGGAGGCTGAGCCATAGCCTTGCTGTTGATCGTATGTAGGTGGTTGTCCATATCCTGATTGTGGTGGTGCACTATACCCACCATAGCTGTCCTGAGGATAACCCTGGCCAGGATGGTTATAACCAGAGGAAGGTGGCTGACCATAATTATAAGCAGTCCCATCAGCTGCAGGTGGAGGACCCCCAGCATTTTGCTGTTGCTGCTGACCATAGTAATCGTAACCACCACCATGAGTTGACTGTTGAGGTGGCACAGAGGACTGGTCCCAATTGGAGGAGTATCCACCAGATGACTGGCTAGGATATCCTGGATATGGTGGTTGAGGCATATTGTACTGGGGTGATGGACCAGAGTATGCTCCAGGCTGCACATAGCCATAACCAGGTTGTTGCATAGGAGCACCAGGAGGAACCCAGCTTGTAGGTGGTCGGGCTTGGTAACCTTGTTGAGGATAACCACCGGACATTGATTGATTTCTAAGACGGTTCTGCAGAAGAAATTGTGGTAACAAATTTAAAAATACAAAGTGAACTTGTCCAAGGTAACAATAAATTCTAAAATAGTGTGAACAATGCATGCAGATAACCATGTAAACACCACCAAAAATCAACATATAAAATGCACAAGATAAAGGGCATTGTCTTAGATTGACTAATTCCATACAGCATTAAAAGGGGGTATAAAGGCCTACATACCGTACTGGTTCGTGATATAACTGAGTTACTCCAGCAGAAGCAGACCCTCTCCCTATTTCAAATGAATGGGTACAAAGGAAAGCACAAACAAAAGAAGCAGACATACACAATCTTTGCTGCCTCAAAAGGCATGCCATGGTGTATTATCCAGTATCTCAAAGAATAGTGTTTAGTTTCAATTTATGCATTACTAATTATTCAGAGATACTAAACAAGCTCATTGTCTGAGCCACTAAATAAAAAACCAAATTAGAGATATAGTATGCACTGCAGCATCTCTGAGGTAGAAGCAAACAAGAAGCCAGATTAAAGGACCATGCATACAACTATAGAAATAGTCCTATCACCCTTCCCACATTATCAACCTAGTAGACAACAATTTTTGTGTTAGCACTTACTATCAAATCAAATAAACAAAAAATATAAATATGATCATTTGAACTTAACATTTTCGAGACTCAAACTTCAGTGAACATTATAAGATAACAATTTTCCCGGGGTGAGGGACACATATAAAAAGCACTATGAGAGTGAATACCATAAGTTCAGCAGAAAATGCCATAGCAAGGCTCTCATTTGAAAATCAGATATCATTTGGTGTAAGAAATAAATACGAGAAACAATACCATCAAGAAATTGTTGTTAAAAAAATATTACCAGGTTGAAATAAGGGGAAAATAACAGATTATAGAAATATTAAGAAGTCCAATGGATGTATACATGATTATTATGCCCAGTATTAACGGATGAATAAAGCCATAGATGTTAAATCATTATTTCAAGAAATTGTGTGCAAAATATATGAAATTGTCTTTAAAAGATCAATAGTTAATACCCAATTACACCATACCGTATAGACAATGGGAGACTAAGAGCCCTCGATAATGAATATCAAATTTGAGATTTAGAATCATACCGGGGGCATGCTGAGGGAACACCAACAAGGGGTTAAATGTTGGTGTCACTATTGATCCAATACACACTAACCCTACAATAGTCCCAATAACAATATCAGTCATAGGATACACAATTAATAAGCACATAAGGCTTAGGCTGTAATCCTGATGTTCATATCACTTGGACCAAAATATGATGGCAAAATTAAAGGAGCCCTGATCTCCTCTACTTCCTACACCATAAATTAATGGACAAACCACCAAAATAGCAAGGAACCCAAACCACAGTTAATAATCAAGCTTTGCTTGAGCTTGGCATCTTGTACAACAAAGTCAATCAATCCAATTCTCAAAAATCCATACATAACATCCTGCTTGATCTTTTTGTGTGTGTGTGTGTCTAAGAAAACACACTGACTGACTATTTTGTTTTTGCAGAGGACTATATATTACACACAAGATATAACCCATATAGTAAGCAAGTCAACTTGGATGACCCTGCGAAGTTCACGTCCATCTGGGCGGAGACTATACCAATATACTTTTGCTGCATGTTCATGACATCATTATCCTATTCAAACTCGATAGATCATAAACTTCAACAGAAACCAGACCTTCTCACAAATGTTAACTACAGCAGAATGTCACCCGTGACAAGAAGCTCATATTCTTACTCAGAATTCCACTAGATAAGCTAATGCAACTACAGTGTGGAGATTATCAGTAAAAACATCCTACATATATCAGTTTAAGAGTATCTTCTATTTATATGAAAGTATCCAATGAGCAGTCATGATATCAACCAGCATAACAAGGATGAAGCCAGCATATTGAAAAAAAAAAAAGGAACCTGGCATCACTGCTCTTCTGCTTCTGATAAGATAACAACACCACCACAAATATATCTCAAATTGACAATCACAAGCTAGAGGCCCCAATATCCGGGCAATAATTCTTAACGCCTAAATATCAAACAGAAAATAATGCAAGGTTGCTAAATAACAGCCAATGATGCTCATGATTACTAATCACCAATGGCCAATTGCTAATTACTGATAATTAAAAAAACAGACAAATGATGGGCATTTATGCAAATCATGTCAAAAATATCTTAAACTTCAGCAAATGGATAGTTAGTATTACTAAGCCTCTGTAACTGATTTTTTTTATAACAATATTACCAAATAGAACAGATTACAGTAATCCAGCAGAACATTGAAATAACCCTGCATAATTAGGATTATATGACACAGTTTATCATAACGTCACAAGGCACCAGGCTTATCTTCACATCAGTACGCAAGATAATAAGGGTAAACAAGTAAAGCAAACACAAATATCAAACAGCATGAATGGGCATGCAAAGTGCAACAGAAAACATGAAGTTCTGAACATATGGACTTGGCACTAGGCAAACATGCTAACCAAGGCCAAATCAAACTCAAAGATCCATGTGAAAATACCTCATTAATGACTTGATTAACCAACTGTTTCGCAGACTCAATTTGTTCACTGGTTCCATCAATTTGTAATGTTCTTTCCGTTGATGTGTCACCTGGGGGAAGATGCAATGGTATCACCTGAAAAAAAGGATATAATACGTTATAAAATAAAACTAAGAAACAGAAACTCCACGACTTTGGGACCTCAAGTTGTTACAATAGCATTGACGACAGAGCTACAGTAAAAAATCGAAGTGAAGCAATATGTTACATATGATTAAAAACAACCTGAATTCTTGCTCCAGTCTGAGCTTGCATATTCTTTATCGTTTCTCCTCCTTTTCCAATTACAAGTCCAACCTGGAGGTGAGTACCATCCCAACCCAAACAAATGAGAAAAAATACAAACAGAACATTGCACAATTTCAATGAGTAAGTGTGCACGCGTGTGCAAATATATGTCCTCAGCATACTTTATTATTTGGAATTTTCATCACAAATTGTTCAGACCCAGCTTGTCCAGTCAGTCGCCTAGCGACAATACCAGAACCTCCAGCTTCAGCCTGCAACATACATGAATTGTTAGCGAGTTGCTACTAACTCCATGCCGTTCTCTCATGCATGTTGTACATAACTTATCAGAAATACTGGGCATTGTAGCACGACATAACCTACAAAAGATCCAATCCTCAAATAATTTATCGGTGGTTATTCTATTTCTAGCTGGGCAGGAAATAACCTTTAGACCAAGGCCTTATTAGTTTACACATTGTAATATTTTTGAGAGATACCTCAGCAAGAACTTCGTTGATCAATTTCTCAGCAGTAGCAATTTGATCAGGAGTGCCCATAAGTTCCACCATCCTTGTTGGAGAATTTGGATCTGCATCCATATCACGGGTAACTTGGATCTTTGCTCCAGACTGCGTTTGAAGATACTTGATTGTCTCCCCGCCTTTGCCAATAATAACGCCGACCCTTCCATTCGGAATGTCTATCTTTTTGCTAGTACCCTGATAGGCATAAGAAATGGGAGCAGCTGATGGGACTGAGTACTGTGGCTTCGCATCTGCTTTCAGAGAGATCAATCAAATTGGTGCATTAGTACTAAGGAAGATGCGGTTCCAGGTTCAAGGGACAAGAAATACTACTGGATAAATACCAATAATACCAAAAATAAATTGACATGATAATAGCAATCAAGAAACACAACATCGTAGTGATTTAAGAAACAAGAAAACCATGCTTAAGAACCAAATATCGAACAGTGCTGAGGAACTGCTACAATCAGAATTGAAGTAGACCAAAAAGGACGGGGAAGCCACACTGGGTAGGAGTAAAACCCTTACCGCTGGCATCAAATCCCGAAGCACCGTTCTCAACCTTGGAACGTTTGGCATCCAACCCAGTTGCTCCACTACTGTTCAAAAGGCGAGCAGCAACCTCCTGAGCCCGCTGCTTGGCAAGCTCGATACCAGTTGCCGCCGGGGGCGGGACGCTGTTGTAGGAGGGAGGTGGAGCATGAGAACCATCGGGAGACGTAGACGCGATCGGCGCCGAGAAGCCAGTTGGCCTGTGAGTTGATTGAGAGAGCGATGGCTCTTCGTACTTGCGCTTGTGAGTCGTGGTATCGGTGCCCGATGAATACTGTGCTTCTTCGGCCATTAGGTTTCTTGGAAGATCGAGTGGAAGAAACCCTAGAGACTCAGGATTAAGATCGACTTTGGTAGTGTCGTTTTATATATAGTGGTGGTCGAAGAGATACTACTGGCGTTTCATTGGGAAAATATCCCCTGCCCGTGTTGTAAAAATTTCGCCAAATAAACTAAAAAGAAAAAAGAAATAAACGAGGGAAAATGACCAAAAAAAAAAAAAGACGATCAAGTGTCATAAAATCTGATGATTATTATTTAGTTCTTAAGAGACTTATCTAACATTTTGATTTTTGACAAAATGATATATTTTCCCTTTTGATTTGGTTGAGTGTCTCTGTGACTCCACTTCTTGCTCACATTGCCATCTCTTCTTTACTTTAGTCATCGTTTGGCTCCTTATCATTTAGTCCATGTAACCTTATCAATAGGTCAATTATTTTATCCAACTTTTTACAATCTGATCAGAGCTTGGGGTTCGCGATTCTCTCTATGCATCGTCACTAAGAATAGTCCATTAAGCTTTATGATTGTGATTTATCGCCTCCTTTATCTATACTTAGCTTAGCATCGTCTTTACCCTTCCTCTTTATTCTTGAACATGACAGTAAAAGGGGGAAGGGTTAAAAAATCAAATCTACTTCCCAACTTCATGCTATATCTGAGCAACATGCTTGCTTCCCCCCTCCTTATCAAAACGTTCTTTTCCTCTACATTAGGCTTGCATTGATAAGGAATTTAAATACCAATAACTTAATATAAATCTTATTTTTTTTTCAATTTAGATGGCTATCTGGTAATTGGAGGAGCATCTTTAGGAGCTAGCTATATGGGTTCTAATAATTGCTTAAGACTTCATCCTCTTTTCTGGAAGGAGAATGATTTGCTCCTTCAATTTTCATGATCAATTGAACCAGGAGATGCACTTGTCTTTCTATGTTTATGTTGCATGGAACTTTGACATAGATAGATTCCAATGATGCTAGAAGCAATTGCATCTCAATTACACCACCACTCTATAATTGAAGGCCCCTTGGATTGGTCTTTCATCTTTCCCCTTACGATGGCATTCTAAAGATGGTATTGCAACGTAATGTATTCACCTTCAACAATATTCTCAAAATCTATGCCAAGTATGGTTCCCCTACATGTAAAGTATTTGATGAAATGTGCGAACACAATCTCATGTCGTGAGTGAGTGTGAGGTAATAGAAGGCAGAGCAGAGTTATATAGATGCTCAAGCATATACAAGGTTAAAAGGGCAAATATGTCATCGTGTTAAAAATCAAAATCCAACACAATTTCTCATGGACTAAATAATAATCATCACATTCCATGATGCTTAATTATCATTTGCATATTTCTAGCATTTTTTAATTGTTATTCTCATACTAAATAATCAATAACTGATAGTCAAATAATCAATATTCAGTAACTAGTAATCAATATCAATGATCATTCAATAAGTCAATATAAGAAGGAAAATGTTTTTAAAAAAACGTTTTAAACTAACAGTACTTATGGCGAACAAAAGATGATTCGATGCAGGGTTTTATGCCGTGTTTGGTATGTTGAAAATGATTTTGATGGAAATAGGAATGGACATGGAAGTGAATATAGATATGAGGTTTAAAAACATGTTTGATTTATTTATAAATCATGACATAATTTCTATTCAAAAGACTAAAATACCCTCCCTGAAAAACTACACTAGTTGAGCCTTAACCCTAGTCTAAAATCAAAATCATCATCCCCGTCACTATGAGATGTCGCCACCATTGTTTCCAAGAAAGCACTCAAACAATTAAATTAAAGAAATTGCCTCCTTTATATCTCAACACTACCCGTCTTCTTTAGGTAGAGCTTTGTTAGTGAAGGGTTAAACTTTCGACCATCGTATTAAAGTCACTGAGAAAAAAGGATGAAGATGATGGTAGAGGGAAATGAGATTAAGAAACAAGATCCAAACCATCTCTAAGTTTGATGTTCAAATCTGTCATGGCTTGTCTTTGTCTATGGTGTTGTTGATAGCATAAATCAAATGCCATATAAATCATAAAGAACTTAGCTTCAACCAAATGCCACTATCGCCATATGAGATACGAGGATGGGGGTGGTATGAGATTTGCAATGGGTAATATTGGTCTACTTGCACGTGTGTTATTCTCTATGTTTATATACTATTGCCTATTAACCATCCTTCTCCATCTCTCTTGTTGTTCACAAAAATGTTTTGGAAGTCTCCAATGCTTAAATGTAAGATCTCTAAAATCTAACATACCATTACCCACATTACTTGATACTATCATGATAATTAGAAGGTAACCAAACTCTATTATGTTACCACAATATAAAAGCCTTTACTGAAGTCATGAAACAACTTATTATAATAGAAAAAAATATTCAATTCAAAGGTTTGCTATAGTTGATTAAAATTGAACTCATTAAATTAAATCTACTAAATAATCTCTACCACGATAGAATAGATTCTACAATAGTATAATAGTTTAAAACCAAGTAATTTATTCATACTATAATAGAAAAAAAATTAAAACTCACTTGACGATAGAAGCTTTTTTGGTAAAAGTGGGATCTCAAATTTAGCAGTCCAGTCATAACTTTTCTAAAATAAGGAAAACTATGCAATGAAAAATCAGACTAGATTGGGTGATTTAACTAGTAAATCGGTGAACTGGCTCCTTTCCTAGTCTGATTTTCCATCTGAACTATTTTGGCATTGACCTGGTCATCTCGAGGTTGACCCAAAGTAAACCAGTATAACCCAGCTGACTTGAAGGGTTGGCTAGGTTAGTTGGATTATATTAAAATACTCAAACTAGCAAAGAGAAGATGAAGAGGAGAATCATAAGAGATATGTAGGGGGAAATCAAGGAAGACATTTTACACTAAAACACCACCTTAAATGTAAGTTTGCAGCTATAAAAATGTTAAAATTGTGATAACAATGAAATCATCAGATGAGCTAAGAGCAGGGCAAAATATTGCAGTTCAGTGAGAGTGAGAACTGAGAACATAAGGTGGCCAAAGAAGAGGAGGAAAGAAGACAATGAAATGAAAGTAAGGTTTTGCCTTACGTGGTATTACTTATCAGACGATGGTAGAGTAGAGTTAGGGTCCTTTTCCTCTTCACGTGATGGTTTTAATTTTCATATTATCATATTGAAAAGGCACAACAGGCAGGATTTGGAGTGGAGGGAGACAACATCACAATATATTAAATTATGAACTTGTTAACTTGAAGTGAATATCCTTATTTATTTAAATATTAAAATTTTCATATTAAAAATATTAATTTCTTATCTATATAAATTAAATTTATTTTAATTAAGAACGGTTTGATTTTGAATTGACCCTCAGTTGAACCATTAACCCTTAATCCACTGTCTTTATTAGTTTAATGACCAGTTTAATTTTCAGTACCTTGATAAAAACAATCATTTATTAGAATTATAAAATAGTCAAAAACATGGGATATCATTAAGACTTGAAACCACTTGAAAACAGAGTTTAAAAATGACATTTTCCATGCAACTACATCTTCTGTCAAGGCAAAAGGTGTGTCTATCGTGATATATGACACTAAGGCTTTTCACTAAAACTAACACAGACATGTGCCGTAGTTTGCCTCCCTTATGTTATGCACTTTAACAAATGTGCTATTTATCATGGAACACTGCATATAAACATTGATAATAAATTACTATCGGTTGTAGATTTAAAACCTAATCTTCTTACGCACCTCAGATCTCCATTCAACATTCAAATGAGATGATTTAGGTGTCCAGAGAAAGCTTATTCATTAGCCTAACTAATGACATCAACTTCATTTCTAAATCTTCACAAATAATCAAATTATACACCAATAATTTAAATAACTACTTTTCTCCCTTTACTGCTCTAGTGTGTCTAAAACCACAACCAATTTTCAAAATCCTACCTCATGACCTAGACCCCATTCAATAGATCCTAAACAACTTATGCAATAAACCACAAACATGCAAATTTCCTTAAATCTTTTTTTAACCCTCCAACCCTAAGCTTTAACACAAATAAGGGTAAGGTTTCACAATATTAAAATCATAAACTCCCTTTTAAAATTCACTAACATTTAGCGTAAACATACTTGTATAAATAACTTGGCCCAATTCATTTTAAACCATGACATCAAAATAATGTCAAGCCTAAAATCCCATAATTGTCAACTCAAATTTAAATCCACAAGTATAAATAAAATATGAATCCTAGTTGATATTTATGGTTTAATTACACAAACTAGCCAGATACAATACACAATTACTAGTCTTTAGCACTAGTTGCCTTCCTTTTACTCCTACCTAAACGTTCTTTTGCAAAATGTCAATCGATAAGGGTGAGATAAAAATATCAATAACTAAATAATCAATTTAATCACGCATAAAGGGGGGTGAATCTTATTTATCCAAATGTAGTTTTTTTTTGTAAGTTTTATTCTCAATTGAGAATAAAAAAAACCTTTTTTGATTCATCCGCGATAGGGTTTATTCAAGAAAGGATCATATATTTTAGGTAAGTATTTTTTTTTAATCTCATCATTACATTTTTTTGGCTAACAAAAAGGGTATATACTTTTTTTGGCTAATAAAAAGGATATATACAAAACAACCATATTCCACACATTGAAGTATGTAAAATGCATATATGAACACCAACTGCCTAATCCCCCTTAATCTGCACTCTTGAGTAAGACCACGAGCTATTAATATAGATAGAGAGGTTACGTGACTGACATAGCCTAAGCTCTCTAATTATGAGAGGCAGGTATGCAAAAGCTATCACACTCATTATCAGACCATGGCTCCCTTATCCTCAAACCATTATGATGTCTTACATTGAACTCCATATCATTTCTAATTCATCAAATATGGTAATGCATAGCTCTCACCAGAGTTTGCATTACTGATCTTGTATGAGGTGATGATGCATGGCTATCTAGATGTATATCGAGCTCCACACCAATTCCCCCATCAAAGAATGTGATATATGGCATGTGCCAAACATCAATTTTGTC